GATGAATTCTGTGGCTTCTGCCGGTGTTTCGAACTGAAAACGAATAGGACAACAATTTTCATGTTGACTATTCTTCAGCCTATAGCACTTAGTCTTGGAGTTGGGCATTTTCGCCTCACTAAGTAAGATGCGCTGTACCCTTTCTAGTGCCTCATTGTCTGGAACGTAGTAGACAATAGTACTTAGTTTAGCGTCGAGTCGTTTAGTTACTTCTGTAGTAACAAAGTTAATGAGGTTATCTACCTTAGTTACCGGTTCTTTATCAAGTTTGTTAAGGTTTACAGTTTTCATGAGGATAGTAAGAGGTGCCAGTTCACAGACCTGCGATCTGATATCGCTGATCTGATCTGATAATTTGGATATTTTGGTATTGGTTTCAGAAATTTCAGGATTTACTGGCTTGTTTTTTATTTCCCTTAACTCGGCCTTAAGTTCTCCTATAGACAACTTTAGAAGTTCTATTTCCGAAGATAGTACTGAAAGAGAGCTTGATGGCTGGAGTTTTTCGATAAGCACATAAGGTGTAGGGAGGGGTTTTGTATGAGAAGAGAGTATTGAATTTTCAGGAGTAGTGCTAATACTAGTTGTCAGTACAGTTTTATCCTCAGTTCCAGCTCGACGCTTACGACCTACAAGTGAGTTATGCGGCTCACTGTAACCGTTTGTAGGAAGTGTGTTGCTTGATGTAACAATCAAGGACGTAAAATTAGTTATCAGATTTACGGGGGATTGAGTTCGTTGCTTTTTACTTTGATTAACCATAACTATTATATATGAGAGTTAATGGCTATAATTATGGAAGTAGTAGAGTACTTGTGTAAGGATTACGGCAAGATAAATTTTATGTAACGAATCACGCAAAAATGTAACGCGAACGTTGAACGCACCGGTTAACAGAATAATTGGGCAGCTATCAACCCTGATTTACAACGTTTGCTTGCACTACAGACTTGGCGTTTAGCAGTAAACAGACGTATAACAGGATAAGTAAGACGACTTTTGGGTATCCAACAACATATTATTTATTTGTCTCGTTAAACCCTGTATAGTTTTCACATGTGTTACTGTAGAGAAGCAGGCGCAAAATCATACCCATGAAAAAGGTAACAGTCTCATATGACTTTGCTCATACATCAGCTTTTGTCTCCAGTAGTGCAACGTGACCTCAAGGGAGCGAGAAATGTGAATAGAAATGGAGTTTTGGCTTTACGAAATGCCGGGTTAGTTGAGTTAAAATACAACATAAGAGAACTTAGATAATTAAATTATTGTGAACTAATTGAGTGATATTTCAGTGAGTAGTGGCTTCAAAGATATGAAGGATTGTAACCTGTGGTATATGCTGACCTGTAAATTGTCTCACGCATTTTTGTGGGGCCGTTTGGGTAATATCCTGAAATGAAAGGTGAGCGGGCTTAAAAGTGTTGGAGATAAAAGGATTTTAAAAAGTGAGATCTGCAAAACGATTGTTGTTTTTTTATGTTAAGCATCTAGGTTTGTGTTCAATTCTCAAGCTGTCAGAATGCACGTTGCTATCCTGCAGATCAAAGCGATTCGCATTTTTGTCCACCACCATATATACTGATGAGCACGCACCATCTTTCCTCCTTTTGTAGCAGTGCGTTGTCTTAAGCGTGTCCCAGTCCTACAGTATATTGCACATCAATGGCTCCCCACTAGATCACCAGATACATCAATACCTGGAGATATTTTTGGCAGTATTAACCGTGTGTACTGATACATGTTTACAAGTGGTTGTAACAAACGACTATGAAATAAAGTTGGCTCAAAAATTATAGAATGCAGAAGTAGTTAGTTTTACAGCAACCAATTTAGACTTCAGTAACAAACTGGGTCGGGTTTAAGAAGTAAAATATATGTCTCATACTACGTACTGGTTCTAGGTGGTGTGAGGGTTAAACACATTAGAAGAAACAGCGAAGGACAGATGAGAGTAGAATCAACATTAAGCTGATGAAATATGAAATTTTACTTTATCTCGAATCCAAATGCTAGTCTTCCTCTTTCATAATTACTGTGATGGTACCATCGTGAATAAAAAATCCTTAGATTAGCAACACTGGTGGTATATTACACTGGGAGATATACTATTGCAGGCGACAAAATGTCGTTTGTTCTGCCTTCAGTGATCAGTTTGTATGTCAGTGAAGGTTGAGTCACATTGAGAATTATATTCTCAAAAGGAAATAGCTTGTTTGTTGTGCTATGATATGAATGTACATCCCCATATTATCTTGATAACGCGTTAGTAAATACACCCTTGAGCAGCCATAATCTTCACATCCTCCCTTTACTATATGGAGCGGTTTCAAGGACATCCTGGCCACCAGGTAGTGGGCCAGGTTAAAGAGCAAACCATTAGAATGGCTAAAGTAAAAGTCTGGCAGGATAGATGTCCATAAAAAATTAAAGGAGTTGCTTCTAGTTAGAGCCAACCAGAAAGCGATTTTGAAGTCATTCCTGAAGAGTAACTAACTGGTTTCCTATCATTAAGCAGTCAAAAGGCTGTGAATTCGGTGGGAAAACGTATTAAATTTGGAAAAATCAAATGTTTGTGCAGGATAAGATCATTTTTTCTTCAGCTGAGCACAAACTAAAATCTAATTTTGTGTACACAAAAGTTTTAACATACTTGAAAGGGCTGCGTGATTTCTGTTCAGCATAGACAAAAACTTAATACCGGGTGCTCAGAAGTTACCCTAATGTAACTGATGCAAAATTTAAACAGAGTACAAGCACGCAAATTTTAGGGTTGGATATGGTGGAACCCGACTTGCACAATTATGGCAAGAGGTGAGAATTTGACGATAGATGGCAGTGTTTGCAGCCAACCCTACGGTTTATAGCTAGGTAGGGTACGAACATTAGCTTATAAACTGAAAATGTAGGTCATCATAATTTGGTGTTTTCTAGCTCTGAATCGGGTAACTTCGTTAAAAGAGTTCATGGCCTCGTCGCCGATCATCTTATGAACTGAGTAATCCCGACGCCAAATATGTTATTTAGAAGTGTGGATACCGTGTAATTTGGCTGGAACGAATCTTCAGGCACGACACTACAACCAAATATTCCCTCGAAAATACTCCAAACACTTAGATATTCTCAAGAGTTAAATCTAAGTAGCACGATGACGTTAACAGTGACATTGTTTCCATTATTCGAAATATAGAGTAAATATAGTTTACAAATAATCAGTATCTGGATGATTGTATGAATCTCGAGATCCTCCAAAAGGAACCAGTCAAACTGTCGTGTATGCACATGCATCAGTTATGACTTCATGTCAAACGACGATAAAGTGTTCCTAACAACATACAGCTATTTACATCTCAATACATATTAGGTCCTATACACAGTAGTGATCAGAAACGAACAGCGTTTTGATATTTCTTGTTTCCGCTACTAATTCCTCACTCTTATCGTAATACATAAACAACTTGATAATAAACCCACTGTTGGAAATGCAAGCTCCTAACCTGATATAACACTGTGTACACTCCAAGCCTAATTTTCTGAAACCAACTGAAACGCCAAATGTAATACCTTGAGTTTTACTTATGTAAATAACAAGGCTTGATTGATCACTAATAGGCTTGACTACTATGCCCTGGTATCCCCCTGCGTCTCTTCCTTGGCGGTCATGCGTAAAACACGGGGTAATTTTAGTCTCCAGTTATCACTGAATGAATACTAGCAAGTACGAACTGGCTGTGAGCACAGTGACTAGCTATATTAGTAAAATATAAGATAGTATTTTCAAAATCATTAATGCTTAAATGACCCCCAAGCTACGGTCAGTTTGACTCCCATAGTCACGTATTTATACTGTTATCATAATAAATATTCGTATGCAAGTTACAAAAGATAGGAGATTGACAAGGTTTCAATCCAGATATCTCATTACTCCGAATAGTAAATTTCTGCATTAGGAAAATTATGCCCGATCGTAGCCTGAATATAGCTATTTCGTACTAAGTGAGCTGAAAATGTGCGTGAGGCTAAAATCTGAAATATTCGCAAGTTATTTTATTATCGGGAATCACATCGAAATTGGTTTACCAGTCCACATTTACATGCCAGAACAAGAACATTAGAAGGACACAAAGACGGGCATCCATTTACTTCTCTGAACACACTCGAATATCTTCACGAGCTTAAGATAAATAACCACTTTCGTTTTATAGCATTCATATCTAATTATGTCTCACACTTCACCTATTGTCGTCTCAATTAAGTGCCGTCTTCATACACGACTTCTGCTAACAGGACAAAAAGTACACTTTCTTATTCTCTCAGTAATGCATTTATTTTAGGCCGTCCACAGGTGAAGAGTAGTCTTAAAATAAAATATGAACATTTCACTTTGTATATTTTGGTTTGGCTGTTTCCAGTTATCTATCCCAAATTTAACACGCTTTGTTAGCAGATATTCAGTAATTTGAAATTTTAGTACTTTTATTGGCTCTTCAATCATTCACCAATCATTTTTCAAAGCAAAACTTAATTTTTCTGAAAGGTGGTGGTTAACAGAAAGATTTCAGTTTTCAGCTACCCAGAAGTGTCACAGTAGCCCCTTTGACTTGAGAAACGGCAGGCCACAAATTAGATATAATCGCCCCCCCCCCCATACAATTTCTCCAATGCCATGAAGAAAGTGTAGAATAAAGGATATTATTAATTGAGTAGGGATGGGACTAGCATCAGGGAGTATAGGTGAATCTCTTAAATACTGATTATCGTCCGAAGAACAAATAATTTTATACAGTATCGCAGACTGTCTTCATATCAGTATTTTTGTTTATAATAGGTGAATCGAAAGGTTAAATCATCGTAAAGTTTGTTATTGTTACGGCGCACGATACAGTATGAGCAGACTAGACAAATATGAAAATGTTCGGAATGTTTATAGATTACTGAAGGAGAAAGGAGATATCGATAAATTGAAGGTAAAATTGAGACTTCTTCTAGATGGATGCGTTAGTCTCAAATCAGACAGAGGATAATATTGGGGTTTGCATCTTTGGAAACTCCTGTTCCTAAATCTGATTGTGAAATCATCGATCAAAACGTTAGGCTGGTGAATTGTCTGATAGCAGATCACATGAAACACCATGGGTATGATTATTCTTTGAGTGTTTTTCTCCCAGAAATCGGGCTCACAAGTCATGAGGTGAGGTCAGTTTCGTTCATTAACGATCTTCCAGTTCGAAGAACACATTAAAAACCTCCCATTCTCAAAATGCAGTATAAGCAGAAGTCTCTGGAAAAAGATAGTAATATGAGATAAAACCAATCTTACCTTCATATTTTAGGCGTCATATCACCAGGACACATGCTCCTTCCTAGTCTCGATTCTGAAAGCTGAAGCAGATATCTCAGATGTCTTGAAAGAACAGAAGTCGGTTCAAACATGTGATTTAGATGTATGCGAATTAGGTACGTGTAACTAGAAATCTCCTATTAGTATTCACTTATCACTAAGATTTCTTATATTTTACCAAATTTACTTCATAATGTACTCAGTTCTTATTTACATTCGTGCATTTTTCACGGACTAAACTAAATTATAGCGACCCCAGCAAGCTGTCAACCAAATACTTTGGACAACTAAGGAGTTTTAAGGGTGGGGAACTTTATATAAGGCAATATGATTGCATTCCAGTTGCTAAGAATGGACTCTAGTCATTTTGAAATAGTCCAGGGACGAGTCTCTGGAATAAATCATATGACAAACGGCTGAAGAAATTGTCTTTTCACACTTGGCTTCCGTCGTCCCAGGGGTGACTAAGTTAATGCTTGTAAGATTACAAATGACCAGAATCAACCAAATAAAGGTGTTAAGTACGTATTGTCTTGTTTGTGGCAATCCATGAAAGATATCACCTCAGAGATGAAAGATTCGAATGCTCTTCTATTTCTTCTCACTTCGAGTTTGCCTCTCCTAGATTTCTTTACTGGCAGATGCAGCTACTGCAAAGCCCGTGGAAAGCTTTAAGAGGAGACTGGAAAACCAAACGACTGCGTCTAAACCACCTATTCCCTTAAAACACACACTATTAATAGGTAGATACCTAAACTCGTCCCTTCACTACTTTTCATTCTCTTTTGTCTTACTCTTTTGACTACTCTATCTATTAAATCCCTTCTATATACACATATACCTATATATATAAACCTCGAATTTCATTTGCCATCTATTTGCATGTTTCTTTTTTCTATGTCTACATAATATACACTAATTATATCTACTATTATTACAATTTCTCTTTCCAAACACACTGGACGACCAACTCCATTTACAGTAGCTACATGGTCTTAACTCGCCGCATACTATAAACCACATATTGTCAATCCCAGTACCACTCCTCTTGGAGTTAACTTAAGCTACTATAATCGAGTGATACGACAAACTGCGCAGAAGTTTACTGAAGACCAGTAACCATAAACTTTCAAACAAGAAGACAGCACAAGAAAACCGATTTGGTTAAAACTAGCTCGTAAAAGCGATATTGGAGACTGGAATACAAAATAATTATACCGGATGGCAATCTCTTGTACTTACTAGAAGCACCTCCCAGTGTGTCATTAGGGCTCTTGGCATTGGTTCAGACCGCTGTTTTGTACACGAAATCATTGAAATAATTATATATCGTGTCACTTTATGACCTGTTTATCGCTGGAATACTGTTTTTCAAATGTGATCCTTTGGTGGAACTGGTGTGCATCTCATTCAACAGATTAGTAAAATCAGGAGAATGATTTGGTGTTGTGAATATTGCTGCTAAGTTGTTCAACGTCATTTGGTTGGTCGTTTCTTTGGGTTGTTATACTTTAGTTTTGCCTTCCCACATTTTAAGGGTTAATCAAACATAAAAACTATAACTTGTTATCGAAATTCCGCCAAACACTGTAAACGACTTGAAGACTAATACTAGCAGTGATAAACGATATTTATGAATTTGTGGCTGTGTATTAGCGCACATTTTCTCAATGTATCTGAAGATGTGAAGATAAATTTAATTTGAGGCTTTAACTTTAAAAATTGGAATTCTCCATCCAAGAAAACCATAAAATTATAAGTCGCATAGTAATTTAAATGTGGGAAAATGAATGTATTATTATTAATATTGTTCCCTTGGGTTCCTAGTGGAACATAGGGCTTCAACTGCACGCCTCCACTTGCTTCTGTTTTCTGCTGTATTTTTCACTTGCATCCATGTTAATCCATGCTGTTTCAGCTCCTCTTCACACGATCTCCTCCATGTCGCCCTTAGACGTCCTACTCGCCGCTTCCCTTTCGGGTTCCACTCGAGCGATATCCTGACGCGCGATGTCACCCAGCGGCCTCCTCAGCCAGTGTCCAATCCATCTCCACTTTCTCCTGCATATTTGTTGGGCGATTGGTTCTTGTTTTGTTTCTTCCCATAGTTTCTTGTTGGTGATTCTTTCCGGCCATCTGATCTTCAGTATAGAGCGAAGACAGCTGTTGATGAAGGTCTGCAACAGGCTGTTGGAAATATTCTTTGTGACCCGCCAAGTTTCTGATCCGTATAGAAGAACTGACTGACTTGACGTTTGTATTGAAAATCAGAATTTTGTTATTCATGCTGAGTGAAGAAGATTTCCAGATTGGTTTCAGGTTGATGAATGTGTTTCTCGCCTTCCCGATTCTCGATTTGACATCTTCGTCTGTTCCTCCTGTAGTTGAGACAATGCTCCCTAGATAAGTGAATGAAGTAACCTCTTTCAAATCCCTCCAGTTGATGGTGATTGGCACTGTATGTTTTTGCTGCTGTTGATGTTGTTGTTGGTTGGTTATTTTCATAACCTCCGTTTTGTGTATGTTCACCTGGAGTCCTGTCTTCTCTGGCTGCTTCTTCGACCAGTTTGTCGGTTTTCGCTTGTAAGTCTTCGATTTTGTGTGACATCAAACATAAATCATCCACGCGCGAAATCCAGGTCTTCTAGGTTCTTCACGTCGGTCCAGGATATCCCTGTCTTCTCGTTTCCCACTGTCTGACGCATAATCCAGTCCAGCACAATTAGGAATATCATTGGTGATAATCAGCACCCTTGTCTGACTCCTGTGTTTACTCCAAACGCTTCGCTCCTCTCCTCGATCTTGTGTCCAGTAGACTCCGTCTCCACTTCCTTGAGATTGAAATGAAGTCTATCTGGATTTTAGTGTTTCCATCTGGTGAAATCCATGTCGCCTTGTGTATATCCCTGTGTTTGAACACACTGCCACCAATCACTAAATCATTGAAGGCGCAGAAGTCTGAGAAGAGTTCACCATTTTCGTTCATTTCACCGAGGGCCTCGCGACCCATGGTGAGTTCTCTTCCTGTATTGTCTCCCCCCAGTTTCGCATTCATATCACCCATCAGGATTTTGATATCGCTCTTTGGGACGTTGTCCATTAATGTGTGTAGTTGACTGTAGAAATCCTCCTTCTTCTCTTTTTCTGAGACGTTTGTAGGCGCGTAGCATTGAATGATTGTAACCTTTTTTCCTTTTGAGCTGAACCTGGCTGTCATTATCCTGGAGGAGATTGGTTCCCACTGCATGAGAGCTTTAGCCGCTGTTGGTGACATCATGATGGCTACTCCCTCGGTGTGCTCGTGATTGTCCTCTGGGTGACCGGAGTAGATTATTGTCTCTCCAGTTGGCAGTTGGCACCTTCCGCATCCGTTCCATCTGCTCTCGCAGATTCCCAACACTTCTATTTTATGTCTCCTCATTTCAGCGGCTACCTGAGCAGCCTTTCCAGTTTCGTACATTGTACGAATATTCCACGTCCCCATCCTTATTTTTGCTTTCATCGAAAGAAAGCACATCGGCTGACTGGCTTCCCGAAGGCTTTCACCAGCCTGCGTCATTTCACTTCCCCGATTCTAGCGAAAAATAAGGTTATTGTTTTTATTTTTAGAATTTTGAATATATTTGTGCTTTGAAGTTTTAGTAGCAATTTGGTTAAGTTTTGGGGGTGGAGTTGCTAGCACCACGCCCCAACCCTCCCTCTTTATCCGGGCTTGGGACCGGCTAGAATACTAGGGACCTAGTAATCTAGGCGAGGTTGAGAAAATGAATGAACTTAGTTTAATTTAATTTATTGGCTAGCTAAGAAGTACTGAGTACTAGATTCATATAAACATAAAGTAGTCACTTTCATTTTCTTCAGCGAATACTCATCATCAAGTAAAGACAAACACCCTAATTCAGATAAGCGCTGTTTTCCGCGATTTAATCTACAATGGTTGTAAAATCTCAGTTATGTTTAATTTTTTCACGAGTTCAATCAATAGTTTTATATTTGTATACTTACACATACTTATATTAATTTAAGTATATTTGTATGTCCTAACGAATGTTGTCTTCAGAAGTCGTAAGAAACTTTTTCAATAATGTGAAAAGCTAGGCTACCCTTGAATCCATGGTTCATTTATGGTATTTTTATGTATGTTAGCTGACATAGGGTCAGGCTGGAAAAGAGCTAGCGGCGGTCAAACCAAAACATAGCACCAGTCAATGAAATCTACAACAGTTAGTCTAAGCCAGCCACGTAGGGAGGTGTAGACTTCCTGGTTGTGGTCCTCAGGAGGCTAAAACCCAATGGTTGGAAATGATTGGTGATATGGCTCCAAATCGTTCTCAATGGCTGGCGCAGATGCATCCACTTCTTGTGACTTATGATTTCCAGTGAAACTGTTTTGTTCTTCGTTATTACTATTCCTTTGTCTCACACCTCTGTTTACTGTCTGTATTATGCATTTCTCCTACTTTCTTCTCTTGCTTTGTGTGCTACAAGGAAGGAGTATGGCGACTTGAACTGTCGCACATATGTGCAAAGTTCTATGTCGAAAACAGATAGATAGGCAGACAGATTTTTACGTATATTGGAGACAGGCGACACATTAGGGTTTAGTCTTCTATTTTTACTATGGGAATTTTGAATATTCTTTTTGATTAAGACTTTTCGTTGAAGATTTAACTATACTTCAATGACAGAGTTGCACGTACGCCAAATGAGTGGTTAGTGGTCGCTTCAGGTTGCGTGTGTCCAATAGGTACCCATATATATATATATATATATATATATATATATATATATGTTAGCAGACGATTACACGACACTTCTCTATAAATTGACTTCCCTAAGGTTCTTTCAGCCATCCAAAATTGCCTTACATCATGAAAATTTCAGAATCATTTTCCAGTTGAGGCTACAATAATATCGTCAAACGGCAGGCACTGGAAAATTTCAATATATTATTCAAGTAACAGTTATCAGCATTTGTAGCCAATTACACTTTCCTATATCTTAATACGTTTATGACAAATTATTGGTAAAATAGAATAAAACATTCCTCCCACTTCCTAAGTATTGCCACCATTTTTCTATTCGTATGCTCTTTTTGATATTGTTTTCGAAATACACCTCACCCTACCATTCTGTCCCTTGTCCATAATTATTCATCTGCACTAAATCTGCATTATATATCGGTTAATATTTACTGATCTTAACAATTTTGCATTTGTTCGACTGAATACTCTGTATTTTCGACTTAAGCTTTCATTTTACTCAAGCCTTCAATTTCATATTCAGCCGCTCACTAAAGGAATATAGTTACCTATGCACCTGTCTCATCTTAGTAATGACTAGAACAAAATATGTACCTCTTTTCTGATAATCAAATCAGCGTCTTTTCTTTAGCTTGATAATTATTTCTGAATGTTATATTAAAAAGACTGTGTTAGATGATAAGATTGCACGTTATAGTTAATCATATTATCCTGGCCAAACGATCAAGTTCCAGGATTTATTTATCCAAGAAATACTATCTTCTAAAGAAGAAGATTGATTCTTCTAAAATGAAATACTTTATTTCTCCAACACTAGTCGTTTAAATTTCGTTTCAATCCATGTATATGAATGTCAAGCTATTTCAAGTGTATAGTGGTATTGTCAAATGCAATAGAAGGTAATAAATGTTTTTTTAGCGAGGTAAAGGGGTGCGTCGGCCGGGGTTCGAACCCCAAACCACCTCTCTAAGCCACTAACAAGAATGGTAAAGAGGGAAGGTTGGGCGTGATTTTAGCAACCCCACCTCGTAAAAATAAACACCACAGCTACTGAAACTTCTCTAGCTTGAATCCCTATGACCCCCTGGGAATATCCAGGAATAATCAAAAATCTTTTGACGATATCTTTTTTCTATCATTGACAAAAGTTTAGAATTTTATCAACACTTTACTTTCAAGCAAGGAGGAATAGGATCGATCCAAAAATGTGACTCCTATATTAGTCATTCATTTATGACAGTTCACTTAATTGTCTTTAATTGTAAGCCTTATTTGTAATTTATATGACTGTGTTATGATATTTTTATGCAAATGGTGAAACTAAGGCCAATATCACTACTATAATTTCTACTCCCCTAATAAATGGAAAATATGCATACATCTTGTTTGTTTTCAGTTATCTAGAAAGTGTTATTAATTTAATGACTGTACAGGATGCTTGTTGGTAAAATCGATTATCCAGTTATACTTTACTTTCTTTTTCTGTTTAAAGATCAGAGGCTTAAAGATATTGATAAGGAATATGAAGCTGTTAAATCAGCAGATATTTTACACTTAAAGCAGACATTTGAAGACAGACTGGAATATTACAAACGTGAAGTTGGCGAACAGTATCAGGTGAAATTAACACAACAGGTAATACTGTATTTCACTCTTTTCATTTAAAGGTGGTAAGAATTTATTATTGTTACGCTGATATAATTAAGGTATTTCACAATGTTAATTCGTTGTATGACAGGTTTTCGAATAGACTGATGAAATGGAGAAATGATGAAAACAGAAGGAACTTCCCTACGTTTCTCCCTGCTTTGTGTATTTTTGGTTATGTACATGCTTGTCTTTTTCAGATTTATCATAATATGTTTTGCAACCAGGCTGCCGCATTAGTACTGTAAGTGTTGGGTTATACTTATGATAGGCCTCAAATAACCGCACTTATTAAATACTTCACCGCTTAATAACCTTAGCAGGATACTACCTAGAGTGTAAGTACTGACTATCGAAATCAAAGTAAAAAGACTTGGGACTGGAAGTGTGTCTTGAAGGGAGTTGTATTATTGATACAAATGAAATATCAATTTTAATAAATAAGGATGTTATACAACTTATCTGATGCCCCGGTTGGGTTGTAAGCTCAGAGAGTACGCTGAGTGGTAGCACAACAAGAAAGCGAACCACGTGTGTATAGTCATGTCGGAAAACACAAGATGGCGTGGCGCCAAAAGTGGGTGAATGCGTTAAAACAAAAATTCAAAGGCTCAAGGTACACTATAGTACTTTCCATATCTATACCATTTTCTTTTTCTGCACTGATACCTTTTATGCTTTCTCTCTATAGTTCTGGCCGATGAAAGGCTATGTATAAAATCAGACCAATATCATCTACTTTAGTTATCTTGATCAGATAAGTTATAATGAACTTGTTAACAGTAGTAAAATAAACAGTGAAACTATTAGTTTTGTAAGAAGAATTACATTTTGGTAGTCATTCAGGTAGGTAGTGGTATTCAGTCAATTATACAGATTACTGAATTGTAATCTTAGTAAGCTTGATTTTAGAAACCGTAAGTAAAGTGAAGTCAAAATGCGGTACGTTACTGGAATTTGTAGTCATCAACTAGCTCTATAAGCGTTTTCAGCAAAGTTTTAGTCAAGACTAGGCAATAACTTATTTCCCTGAAGAATTCCAGAACGTGTAGTACAGATAAGTTAAATATATTTAAAGTGAATCAAACCCTTCTTTATAAATTATATATATACGTCAGTGGCGCAACGACAGAATGCTCACCGACCATGCGTATTGTCCGAGGTTCGATCCCCAGTCGACGCACACCTTTACCCTTCTAACCCAGTAATAAATCTGGTACAGAGGGAAGGTTTGGCATGTGGCTAGCACCACTTCTACCGAAACTTCAAGCCTCTAGCTTGGAGCCCTATATTCCACTGGGAACGTAAAGGAATATATATATATTCATAGGCCTTTAGAAACACAAAAGAATAGCGAATAAGATACTTTTTCGTATTCGATTTCACCATAAAGATTTTAGGACCTGATTTGGAAATCAGGCTGCCAGTGAGTTGGTGGGACGTAGCGATTTCGCTCGCTTTACTGATGTTAGGCATCATCTATCTCCGAAATAGTCATTTTACATGCAGTAGTCTAAACCGAACATCCATTAAAGTTATACCAAAATGGGATAAAATAGCAATTGCAAGCATTAAACCATTTACTAGGTTGATGCTCACACATATTACACGCTAAAGTTTTGCTTTTTACTAGTTATCTACATCTGGATCCAAATTGACATTGTCAAAACTACCTATGCTATTTGCTAACAAAACCTTTCTGTTTTCAGATGACTGAATTCCGTCAAAATGAATTGAACACCATCAAATTAGAAATGGAAGATAGATTTCAAGAACGTGTAAAGGAACATGTGATGCGTGTAAGTTAGATGAATTAAAATGTGAAGTAATGAAAATAAGTAGAGAAATACAGTAACATGAAAAGTTTAGATGACTGACGGACAAATAACTAATAGACTTTTGGTGATAAATTATATGACGAACTTGAGATGCTTCAATTGATTTCAAAGTCTAAAATATCCTGAAGTTGTGCAGAAAAGTAGATCGCAATCTGAGCAAATCACGTGTCGACCGAATGCTACCAACAAATTTTAATTCTCTTCCTAATTGTTCGCCTAATAACGTGTCCTAAATATTTTTATTATTATATTATTATTGTTCCCTTGGGTTCCTAGTGGAACATAGGGCTTCAACTGCACGCCTCCACTTGCTTCTGTCTTATGCTGTACTTTTCACTTGCATCCATGTTAGTCCATACTGTTTCAACTCCTCTTCATACGATCTCCTCCATGTCACCCTTAGACGTCCCACTCGCCGCTTCCCTTTCGGGTTCCACTCGAGCGATGGCCTGACGCGCGATGTCACCCAGCGGCCTCCTCAGCCAGTGTCCAATCCATCTCCACTTTCTCCTGCATATTTGTTGGGCGATTGGTTCTTGTTTTGTTTCTTCCCATAGTTTCTTGTTGGTGATTCTTTCCGGCCATCTGATCTTCAGTATAGAGCGAAGACAGCTGTTGATGAAGGTCTGCAACAGGCTGTTGGAAATATTCTTTGTGACCCGCCAAGTTTCTGATCCGTATAGAAGAACTGACTGACTTGACGTCGTTTGTATTGAAAATCCGAATTTTGTTGTTGATGCTGAGTGACGAAGATTTCCAGATTGGTTTCAGGTTGATGAATGTGTTTCTCGCCTTCCCGATTCTCGATTTGACATCTTCGTCTGTTCCTCCTGTAGTTGAGACAATGCTCCCTAGATAAGTGAATGAAATAACCTCTTTCAAATCCCTCCCGTTGATGGTGATTGGCGCTGGATGTTGCTGTTGTTGTTGTTGGTTGGTTGGTTATTTTCATAACCTCCGTCTTGTCTATGTTCACCTGGAGTCGTGTCTTTGCTGCTTCTTCGACCAGTTTGTCAGTTTTCGCTTGTAAGTCTTCGATTTTGTGTGACATCAAACATAAATCATCCGCGAAATCCAAGTCTTCTAGGCTCTTCACGTCGGTCCAGGATATCCCTGTCTTCTCGTTTCCCACTGTCTGACGCATAATCCAGTCCACCACAATTAGGAATATCACTGGTGGTAATAAGCACCCTTGTCTGACTCCTGTGTTTACTCCAAACGCCTCACTGAGTTTTCCGTTGTGGATCACTTGACATGTGGCGTTGTCGTACAGCTGTTGAATAAGGTTGATGAATATTTGGGGTACGCCGTAGTACTTGAGTAGTTTCCAAATTACTTCGCGGTCAACGCTGTCGAAGGCCTTCTCAAAGTCTATGAAGTTGAGGTAGAGGTTTGATTGCCATTCCATGCTTTGTTCTGTGATGATGATGCGTAGAGTTGCAATTTGGTCAGAACATGATTTGCCTTTCCTGAATCCAGCTTGTTCTGGTCGGAGTTCTGTATCCAGTGCGTCCTTTATTCTCTCCAGGATGATGCGACTCAGGATTTTACTTGACGTCGACAGGAGCATGATTCCTCGCCAGTTCTTGCAGAGTCCTAAGTCGCCCTTCTTTGGTAGTTTCACGAGGTAACCTTTCCTCCAGTCACTAGGCACCTTTCCCTCCTTCCAGACTTTTGCAATAATGGAGTCAGCATTTCTGCTGTCGTCTCTGGGTCCGCTTTCAGTGCTTCAGGTGGTATCCCATCTGGTCCAGCTGCTTTTCCAGCCTTCAGAAGCTTGATTGCATTCAAGACTTCAGCTATCGTTGGAGTATTGGTGTCAACTTGCAGTTGTGTACGTGCTGTTGTTGGTATTTCTGGACGGGTTGTAAGTAGTGGCCGGTTCAAGAGTTCTTTGAAGTGGTCCACCTATTGTTTAATCTGTCTTTCTTCCTTGGTAATTGGGTTCCCTTGACTGTCTTTTATATGTTTCAATTGTGTTGATCTCTTCCCGGATAGAGACTTGGTTATTTGATATAGTGTCCTCAGGTCCCTTTTGCCTGCTACCTTCTCAGCTTCAGTGGCAGGGTTGTCGTAAAATTGTCTTTTGTCCTTCCTGGCACTCTTCTTCACTTCTTTGTCCAGTGCTGTGTAAGTTGAGCTCAGCGTCTCCTTCTCTTGTCCATCTTTGCATTGAATCATTTTCTCTTTGACCATTCTCCTCTCCTCTACTAGCTTCCAAGTGTCCGTTGAGAGCCATTCCTTATCTTGTTTCTTCTTTCTTCCTAAAACCGTTGAACACGTTTCGTTGAAAATCACCTTCAGAAAGTTCCAATGGTCTTCCACGCATGATTCCTCAGTGATGCCACGTAGTGTTTACTGCTTTGTTCTGACAGTTGCAGTGAAAATGTCCTTTGTGATTGTGTCCTTCAGTTTTTGAGTGTTGAACTTGCATTGTGGCCTATCACCAACTATCCTCGAGGCTTTTAGCTTCACCTTGAAAGTCCCTTGTACTAGATAGTGGTATGAACCCACATCTGCTCCTCTCCTCGATCTTGTGTCCAGTAGGCTCCGTCTCCACTTCCTTGAGATTGAAATGAAGTCTATCTGGCTTTTGGTGTGTCCATCTGGTGAAATCCATGTTGCCTTGTGTATATCCCTGTGTTTGAACACACTGCCACCAATCACCAAATCATTGAAGGCGCAGAAGTCTGAGAAGAGTTCGCCATTTTCGTTCATTTCACCGAGGGCCTGACGACCCATGGTGAGTTCTCTTCCTGTATTGTCTCCTCCCAGTTTCGCATTCATGTCACCCATCAGGATTTTGATATCGCTCTTTGGGACGTTGTCCATTACTGTTTGTTGTTGAATGTAGAAATGTTCCTTCTTCTCATGTTCTGAGACGTTTGTAGGCGCGTAGCATTGAATGATTGTAACCTTCCTTCCTTTTGAGTTGAACCTGGATGTCATTATTCTGAAGGAGATTGGTTCCCACTGCATGAGAGCTTTAGCTGCTGTTGGTGACATCATGATGGCTACTCCCTCGGTGTGCTTGTGATAGTCCTCTGGGTGACCGGAGTAGGTTTTTGTCTCTCCAGTTGGTAGTTGGCTCCTTCCATATCCGTTCCATCTGCTCTCGCAGATTCCCAACACGTCCATTTTATATCTCCTCATTTCTGCGGCTACCTGAGCAGCCTTCCCAGCTTCGTACATTGTACGAATATTCCACGTCCCCATCCTGAATTTTGCTTTCATTGAAAGAAAGCACATCGGCTGACTGGCTTCCCGAAGGCTTTCACCAGCCTGCGTCATTTCACTTCCCCGATTCCAGCGAAAAATAAGGTTATTGTTTTTATTTTTAGAATTTTGAATATATTTGTGCGTTGAAGTTTTTGTAGCAGTTTGGTTAAGTTTTGGGGGTGGAGTTGCTAGTACCATGCCCCAACCCTCCGTCTTTATCCGGGCTTGGGACCGGCTAGAATACTAGTGACCTAGTAATCTAGGCGAGGTTCCTAAATATTTTGACATTCCATAATGCTAGTGAATACTGAGTAAGAATATTTAAGCATCACCATTTGCACAAAGTGCATTGAGTTTAAGTCGTTAGTAGTTTACAATTTGTCAATGAAAGTGTTTATAATGTCTAATGTAGTGATTTTTTTCAACAGGCAATCAGACCCGTCCCCCCCCCCGGCTTAAGAGATAATCATTATGTAAATATAACCCAACTTATTGAAGTTTACTTGATACCTGTATGACACCTAAATTCCGGTGGTACTTAAAGTTAGTTGAACTAAATATCATTTGTTTTGGTTCACAATATCTCATAACCGTGTGGGAGAATTTTGTAAAGACGTAATGACTTAAGCTGGAAAGATGACAAGTTTCAAACCAACATCCTCTTTAACTGTAAGCATAATGATAATTCTGAATGAAATTGTGGCTGTTGTCAATTTCTAATGCCCTACATCCTTTCTAAATGATGGAAAGTGCTGAAATGACGTGTAGCCATCAGTTGAAATTCTTATTTCATTTTGAAACTAGATTCATTTAACAAGCTCTTCTCTAATCGGATGGGAATTCTCGAAATTTGTTTATGTTTATAACTCCGTAAAGAACTATCGATTAATTTAAAAAAGGTTTTGCGTGACTACTGCCTACTTATCAGTAGTAGATCAGTAAAACAATAAAAGTGTATTCACACCCATTTTTTTTAACAGATCCACCGAAAATAGATAAAAGCTTATTTAAATTTAAAACAATTCTTTTTCCTAAAAATTACTAAAGTTAGAAAAAGAGTTTGAAATTCGTCTGCAATCTTTGAATGACCAAGAAGAACTACTAAAAGAGAAGTATAACCTATCACAACAGCGAGAAGAACGTGAAGCATTTGTTAAACGTCAAGCTTTACAAGCAGAATTAGACACAATACAATTGATGAAAACGCAGTTAGACCAAGAGAAATTACAAATTGAAAGGTTACTATTTTTGCTTTCATTTCTTAACGTGAATATGAATTTTGCACCATTTCATCAGTTTATAGTTAGACATAGTGCTTACTATTTCTAAATGTCTGAACTAAAGGTAATTTTTATAAAATTATGAATACATGTGTAAAACTTGGGCACTGTGGTAGTAAGTAATTCCATATTAGTTTGTTTATTAGGTATATCACACAGTGAAATAGTATTATTTACTGCAGGACGTTTTGAACAAAATTTATTGTTCATAATCATATCAGTTATAACCACACAACTTCGAAACTTACGTTTTGTAGTTTTCTTTATTCTTTCCTATTTTTCGTAGGGGTAGTAGAATTTTCCAGATATCTGGGACAGGTGTTGAATCATTCTTATTACACGTATTTGCAGTTGATTCGATAAATATGGCTTTCTCTCCCTCAACCCTTTTACAGTAGATTTTATTACTGTCATCTTATCTGTCCTATTGTATGTTGTCGGTAATTGGATGTAGTGCTATGGCTGAGGTATTTGCTAGATTTCTTATCTTATTCGGGTCAACTGATCTAGATTTCGCTAGTGTTTTGTTTTTCACTAGTCTAACTAACCCCTTCTTACTACTTTGACCTATGTATTTGATCTGAAAATCATTGTAGTGTATTAGACAAAGTAATTCTGTTTGATGGGCTCCACAGGATCCTCTAACTGACATAATTTGTTTCTAATTGAGTTTGTGGGTTTGAATGCCACTTTTATTCACGCCTTGTTAAGAATTCTCCGTAAGTTTTTTGAGGTTCCTTCTTCGTATGGTTGTCCTACTGATAATTTATATTCCCTTTTGTTGGTGTTGTCATTATTCTGTGCGTGCTTGACACTCATGTTGTCCTTAATAATATTGTTATCATTATCAATACCATTAATGTTAATTTTATTTTTACATTTTCCTACATAATTCCTGAATAATTTATCGGGGTAATTATTCAGTTTCAAAGCTTCTCGTATATGCCTCACTTCCTGTCTTAGATTTTCCTTGATACTATTTAGTTTTTGTGCCCTATTACTGAAATGTTTCACTAGTTGTATTTTTACTGACTTAGGATGGGATGATCCGAAATCGAAATATCGGTTTCAATGTAAGGGTTTCCTGTAAACGCAAGTGTTTAACTTCTTATCTTCTTTCCTTTTTACGCTACAATCTAACATTGGAAGCTCCCCTTCCTGACTTTCTAATTCATAAGTGAACTGAATTGCCTCAACCTTCAAGTTGATGTGTTCGAATAATCTAATTATATCATGTGTCCTAAGTGTGGTTAATGTGTCATCTGCATACCTCTATCATGCTTTTAGGGTGGGGCTGAACCTTTCAATCACTAAGTTTTCCCGCTTATCCCTGAATATATCTGCCACAGTCAGGAATATTGGTGACTTCATGGCAACTCCCTCAGTTTGTTGGTATATTTTCCGTTGGGATTTAAGTACTTTGGAAGCCAGGCATATCTGCACTCCCAGCATATTGTGTCCTCAAGTGGCACTTTTATTCCAATTTCAAGTTCTTGGTCAGAAATGAATTCATTTCTGACTGCCTCTATAGCTATACTTATCGGTGTACCTTTATATAAACTGACAATGTCAAAACTAACCATTTTTTTTCCTTCACGATCTAATTTAAAATTATCTAATCTATGCTTTAGTTCATAAGAATTTATTAGTGTAGATTTTGAGTGGCTTTTAAGAGTAATTTTATATATTTATATTATGGTATTAATACACTACGCCTAATGTTTCAATGATGTAAATTTAAACACTCCTAATCTCTTCTAGCTGAGGTAAGTGATTTCCTATACTAGTTCACTGTAACCCACAAATAAATTATTCAGTGGAAAAACGTCTAGTGAAACACTAATGATTCTACATATCATTTACCCATCGACTTTTCTGACTAAATAGTCAAGAATTTACCAATCATTTTTTATTTTAAGCTTTTGGGAAAAAAGTCTTAGATAAACAAAGAAACCAGTTGTCCTTTTTCAAATATTAGACAGGGAGACACAACAGCTAAAACAATATACAACTAAAGAAGAAGGAATAGTCTAATTTGACAACACAGTTGTCTTCATTTTCATACTTGTTATTTCTGCTAGTTTGTATATCTAACTTTTAATTTCATGGAGTGATGGAGGAACTGCTAAGCATAATTTAAATGTAGTGATAGACAAACAGAGTTGTCAACTTAAAATTTTGCTTAGATGTATACTTATTGAAGCCATCATAAAATTATAGATAAAGGAAGTTGTAGGGAGAATAAAATTATATGAAAAGAAAACCAAAGTTAAAAGAACACGCATGAAGGGAAAATATTTAAGTATTTTAAATTCTGAAATCAATAAAATGCAGACATTGTTGAGTGATGTAACCACCATGCTTATCTAAATTATAACCAATTAGTGAGTTTATTGTGGTTGGATTAGTGAGAAGTGATTTCACATGGTAACGTTGTAAGTGTTTCATCTCTTAGTTATATAAAAATGCAACATTTGGACGATTGTCCCCAGGATGTTGTTAAAATCACACTATTTGAATTTATTATTATTATATTATTATTATTGTTCCCTTGGGTTCCTAGTGGAACATAGGGCTTCAACTGCACGTCTCCACTTGCTTCTGTCTTGTGCTGTACTTTTCACTTGCATCCATGTTAATCCATACTGTTTCAATTCCTCTTCACACGATCTCCTCCATGTCACCCTTGGACGTCCCACTCGCCGCTTCCCTTTCGGGTTCCACTCGAGCACTGGCCTGACGCGCGATGTCACCCAGCGATCTCCTCAGCGAGTGTCCAATCCATCTCCACTTTCTCCTGCATATTTGTTGGGCGATTGGTTCTTGTTTTGTTTCTTCCCATAGTTTCTTGTTGGTGATTCTTTCCGGCCATCTAATCTTCAGTATACAGCGAAGACAGTTGTTGATAAAGGTCTGCAACAGGCTGTTGGAAATATTCTGTGACCCGCCGCCAAGTTTCTGATCCGTATTGAAAATCCGAATTTTGTTGTTGATGCTGAGTGACGAAGATTTCCAGATTGGTTTCAGGTTGATGAATGTGTTTCTCGCCTTCCCGATTCTCGATTTGACATCCTCGTCGGTAATTAGGACAATGCTCCCTAGAAAAGTGAATGAAGTAACCTCTTTCAAATCCCTTCCGTTGATGGTGATTGGCGCTGGATTTTGCTGCTGCTGCTGTTGTTGTTGGTTGGTGATTTTCATAACCTCCGTCTTGTCTATGTTCACCTGAATTTATGCATACAATATTATTATGCTCATACTTATAGTGTTATAATATCAAGAAATGTAGTTAACCTGTAACACTGAAATACAGCAACACAGAGTTCAATTCCTCTTGGCATAAAACGCAGATAAGGTAGTTGATTTTCAACTTGCTAAACATCTGTACTGTAATGTGAAATGTTGAATTTAGTAACCATATTGACATGTTGGTTAGAATAATTCTGTCAGAAGTTAAATATGGTCACATGACTAATCATTTATTCTCTAGGTTGCATTATGCATATTTGAGATGTTTAAAACTTTAAGTACTTAAAAGCAGTCTAACATAACATATCGACCCATTCATACATTTTCATATGAAAGCTTTTAAATTGTATATATTTTTGATGACTATACATGAGATTTTAAAAGCAAACTTTTTAAAATTTCGATAAGGGTATTGACTTCTGTACATTATTATTATTGTATCCTTTAATTCCTACAGGAACATAGGGCTTCAGCCGTGCGTCTCCATTGCGTTCGGTTCTCTGCTAGAGTCTTCACCTGGCTACAAGTCTGCCCACATGCTTTCATCTCTTCTTCACATGACCTCCTCCAAGTCACCCTTGCAGTGACGACCAACTCGCCTCTTCCCTTTCGGGTTCCACTCGAGCAATGGCTTGTCTAGTGATGTCACTTGATGCATTGTTTCCTCAGAGTATGGCCAATCCATTTCCATTTCTTCCTCTTCCTTTATATTTGTTTCACAATCGGTTCCTGGTTGGTTCGCTCCCAGAGATCGATCTCTGTTGCTGATCTTTTCTGGCCGACCATCTGATCTTGAGTATTGAGTGAAGACAACTGTTAATGAAGGTCTGTAGTTTGTTTCAGATGCTCTTTATGACACGCAGTGCAAGTCTCTGATCTGTATAGTAGCACTGACTGGCTTCACATTGGAGTTGAAAATCCCGATCTTATTTTTGATGCTGAGAGTTGTTGACCTCCACACAGACTTGAGAGTAGTGAAAGCTTGTCTTGCTTTTCCGATTCTTGCTTTGATATTCTCGTCAGTTCCGCCTGTAGTTGAAACGATGCTTCCCAGGTAGGTAAAAGAGGTTGTTTCTTTCAGGTTCCTCCCATTTATGCTGATTGTTGTCTGCTGTTGTTGTTGTTCTTGTCCAGGAATCTTCATCACTTCTGTTTTCTCTATGTTCACCTGAAGTCCTATCTTTGATGCTTCTTCTGCTAACTTGTTGCTTTTCGCTTGCATGTCTTCCAGTTTGTGGGAAATCAGACATATATCATCGGCGAAGTCCAGATCCTCCAAGTTTTTGTGTGTGTCCATTTTATGCCTGTTTCCTCATTGCCCACTGTTTGTCGCATTATCCAGTCTACTGCAATCAGGAAAATCATTGACGATAGTAGGCAGCCAGCTTGTCTTACTCCTGTCCTCACTTCGAAGGGTTACGTAAGTTTCCCGTTGTGGATTACTTGGCATGCAGCATTGTCGTAAAGCTGTTGGATGAAATGTATAGTTTTCGGTGGCACCCCGTAGTAGCGAAGTAGTTTCCAAATCACCTCTCGATCGGCGCTGTCAAAGGCCTTTTCAAAGTCGATGAAGTTGAGATAGAGAGGTGACTGCCATTCCAGGCTTTGTTCAATGATGATCCGTAATGTGGCGATCTGATCAATACATGACTTGTTTCTCCTGAATCCAGCCTGTTCCGGTCGAAGTTTTTCATCCAGGGCATGTTTGATTCTCTCCAGTATGATGCGGCTTAGTATTTTGCTTGAGATGGACGGGAGCATAATTCCGCGCCAGTTCTTGCATTGACTTAGGTCTCCTTTCTGTGGTAGTTTGAATAAGTATCCTTCCTTCCAATCCTCGGGTACTTTGCCTTCTTTCCACACCTTCTCCAGTAGTGGCGTCATCAAGTCCACTGTTGTCTCTGGGTCCGTTTTCAAAGCTTTTGCTGGGATTCCATCTGGTCTTGCTGCTTTTCCAGCTTTTAGCATCTTGATTGCCTTCAGGACTTCTGATTTCGTCGGGGGGTTGGTGTTCACTAGTAGTTCTGTCTCCGTCGTTGGTATTGTTGGGCGCGTTGTAGGTGGTGGTCGATTTAGGAGCCTTTTGAAGTGTTCAGCCCAGTGTTTCCTTTGCTTCACTTCTTTGGTGAGTGAATTTCCATTGTCATCCTTCACCGGCTTGATTTGTGTCAAACGTTTGCCCGATAGGTACCTAGTAGTTTGGTAGAGTGTTGCGTGATCTCCTTTACCTGCAGCTTGTTCTGCCTCACTTGCCATGGTTTCATAATACTTTCTTTTGTCTTCTCTGGCACTTTTCTTTACTCATTTGTTCAGTGTCTTGTAGCTTGCATTCAAATCCTGTTTTTGTTGCTCATTGGTGCACTGGAGAATCTTTTGTTTCACCATCCTTCTCTCTTCTATTAGTTTCCAAGTGTCCGTAGTGAGCCATTGTTTGTCCTGTACGTATTTCTTATATTATAAAGGTGATCCACATAATTTCTCATATTCAATAGTTGACCCGTGATGAAAAGTACATAAGGGCTTCGTTAAAGGGATTTATTTGGTCTCTGCCTGAAGACTTCCTTTCAGTAGGCATATTCAGTGTATGCTACTGATCGTTATTTGTATCACTTTATAACTTTATTCTTGTAATAATCAACTTGAAACATAATACACAACGGTAATATCGTATATAAAATCGATAGACAGACATGTAATTGCTAGAATCAGCCTGTATCATTTTAGTAGTAGAGTATGGAAAAACAGATTTATATATTTCTTGTTAAATGCCCTAAGCAATATGATGAAAGTTGATTTTTCTCATTTTAATTATCTACATGATTTTACAAAAAGTAGTTAAAGAAAAAAAGTTTTTGCACATTTATTTTCTTAGAGAGAAAAAACAAATGCTTAAAGATCATGAGAAACGCGAAACAGAAATTAAAAAGCATGAAAATCTTTTAGAAATCAGAGAAAAAACATTGGAAGGTGAAATTCAAGAACATGTAGACAGGTAAATCGAAATACACTGTTGTCTGTAGTGTTATGTTATTATAATGTTGATTGCTAGTAGTGTTGTTATTTGACATAACTGAATTGTTTTAAGGTGATTTGCATTTCCCGCTAAATAATTATGTCGGACCGAAATGTCTGGTGTCTATTAACATGTCGGCTCCTAGTATGAAGGCTAAGACAATGTTCGTAGTTTAACATTTTGGCTGATGGTGACTAGCAGTAGGTAGACCATCACTCACTGCGGATGCAGGTATCAACTGTAAACCTTCACTATACGTAAATACACTTTTATTTCAAAAGAACTAATGACGGTTTTTCAAACACATATTGGTTGTGTCATTTAAAAGCTTACGGTGTGTTAGTATTTGCATTATATTCTATTTAAAATATTTGAGACAGTTTGAATCATTTTTTGAGTATTTAGATACAAGTGTACGGACCAAGAGACTGCGGCAGATGTGTTCACGCCATTATTGCAAAATGCTTGGAGGGAATGAAAGGTACCTTCTGGTTGGAAGAAATGCTTTCTACCTCGTCAAGCTGCCAAACAAGGGCAGCCTAGTCCTGAGCAAGATTTGGAGTGGAATCATGCTCTTGTTCACCTACGCCAAGTAAAATACTAAGTCGCATCATCCTGGAGAGAATGAAAGGTGAACTGGATACAGAACTCTGCACCTCACCGGAACAAACTGGATTCGGCGAAAACAAATCATGTTCTCATCAAATTGCAGCTCTATGAATCGTCATCACAGAACAAAGTATAGAATAGTAGTCAAACCTCTACCTCAACTTCATCCACTTCGCAAAAGCCTTCACCGGACAGCGTTGACCGAGAAGTAATTTGGAAACTACTTCAACACTATGGCGTGTAGTGCCCGAGTGTTTATCAACCTCATTAAACAGCTGGCTATATGACAATGTCACGTGTTAGTCAGGTGATCCACAAAGGAAAACTTAGTGAGGCGTTTGAAGTGAATACTGGAGTAAGACAAACTAGCTGCCTATTATCACCGATGATATTCCTAAGTGTGGTGGACTGGGTTATGCATCACACTATACGAGCGGAGTGAGAAGACAGGGATCCGTTATACCTATGAGAAGACTCTTGAAGATTCTGATTTCGCAGGTGATTTGTATTAAATGTCACACAAATTCGAAGACTTACAGGCGAAAACCGACAGACTGGCAAATGAGGCTAGCAGCGAAGAGAGAACTACAGGTGAACATAGAGAAGGCGTAGGTGATGACAATAACCAACCAACCAACAGCAAAAGCTACAACAACTAGCACCATTCACCATCAACGGGAGAGATTTGTCAGAGGTCACTTCCTTCACTTATCTAGGAAGCGTCGTTTCAAATACAGGTGGATGGCACAGATGAAGATGTCAAGGCCAGCCAGCCGGAATCGGAAAGGCAGAATACGCTTTCATCAACCTGAAACCAGTTTGGAAATCTTCTGCACACAGTCAACATAGAGAACAAGATTCGCATTTTCAACACCAATGTCAAGTGGGTACTTCGTTACAGGTCAGAGACTTGGAGCCTGCATCATGGAAAGGATTTCCAACAGGTTAGTGCAGACCTTCGCTGGCTCCATTCTGAAGATCAAATGGCTTGTCAACTAGGAAGAATTAGCAACAAGAAACTCTGGCGCTGAACAAAGCAACTAAGAGCCGACTGCTCAACAAATATGTAGGAGAAAGTGGAGATGGATAAGGCACACACTGAAGAGACTATGGAATGACATCGCGTGCAATGCAGGCAATTGCTCAAGTGGAATCCGAATGGGAAGCAACGAGTGTGTCCTCGTTTCTAGGGTGACATGGAGGAGATAGCGTGGGGAGGAGGAAGTGAGAGATTATGGTCAATCCTGGACCCAGCTGAAGAGGGGAGCAGAAAATGGAACAAAGTGAAGATGTGATGTTGAAACCCTACGTCCCACTTGGAACCCAAGGGAATAATAATAAAATATATAGATCCAAGGGTTATATTTTAGTTTTACATAATAAAAACATAACAGAACTGATTGATTTTGATAAGGTTGAAAAGAGTTTAAAGAGAATGTGATTATGACAGGCATGGTGATTTTAAATGTGATCCCTTATGAGGCAGTAGGTACTTATACCGTTGGAAAGTTCATCAGTCGTGCAAACTAATAGCCTCCGGAAATTCATGAACGAATACAGAAGATATAATGACTCAAATGCCAAACAAATCACGTTGAGAAAAAAAACCTGTCTTCATTCAACTCAATTTGGAAGGTGAAAACATTACACAAATAGTCAACAGAAGATTGAGTACGTTATTAGCCAGAACTTATCCTACAGTTAAGTTGGTTCCTGTTTATGGGACATGCTATTCCGTGCTATCAAAAATCAACAGATGCCATTCTCATATTAATGCTCTGTATATAAATTTACATGTATCTGCAGTAGCAGTTACATTGGGAATACAAAAAAGAGTGGCTTACCTCCGACTTTCTGACCGTGTAGCAAAAAGTCTACTTCTCAAGGGAACAAAGGCTTACAATAGTCTCATTGACAGGTATCTTTTCAATATGGGTAATTAGATCGATATCACAAAATCCTTTAAAATTACCAATAGACGAAATAGCTCATTTCTTCTCAAGTTTGACAAAGCAGTCAATATCAAAAACCTGAAATCGGATTTATGTGTTCAAAAAGAAGCAGTTATCAGTCCTTCTTTGTCTTGATAAGTGGATCTCTTTATTCTCTTTTTCATTCGATTGCGTAGTCTTTGACTTTAACCTTTCCCCCTGTGATATCGTGTAACTCTGTTTGTCTCTTATTTTTATGATTTGAGTTGAACTCATTATTAGTTACTCATCATCTTACTCACCTCTTGTTTTTATTACGTAACTCTTTTGTTATTGTAAATAAGCATTTATTTTTGTTTAAACTTGAACTCTCTGTGTATAAACTACATAAGTTTTTCGAGTTTGACCATGGGAGTACTGGACAGCTGTTACAATGGTTCTCTAACATATATCAATCCGTGATCAAACTGGAAAAACCAACCTAATCCTTACAAATCAACTCTTGCAAACTACATCAGTGTAATATTCTGAGAACTGTTCATTAAGTTCGGAGCCTCTTGTCAACTGACATTATGTAACATTTGAAGGTTGGTTACAGGATTTCATCATGAACTGACATTGGTTAGAGAACCATTGGAAAACCTGGGAGTACTGGACAGCTGTTTCGTCCTAGTTTGGGAGTCTTCAGCAGTACGCACCCAACTGGGTCTGATCCCAGGACCTTCTGGTTACAAGGCGAGCCCGCATACCATTACGTCACTGGGACCCAATCCAATGGTCCATGAATTCTAACTTCTGCCAATTCACGATACAGCGCAACCGCTAGCCGATGTCTTCGGCAAGTATTTGTCATCACACCCTACCTGCTGCACCCTACTGGTTACGACTTCCCAGGAACCCCAGGTAACTACCTACCTGAATAGGGCCAGTCGCCAATGAGCATCTCATTGTTATTCAAGTATTGGTTTGTATGGATTCGGTTGATTCGTTACAGGATTTCATCATGAACTGACATTGGTTAGAGAACCATTGGAAAACCTGGAAGTACTGGACAGCTGGATATTTGACGGTACGTTAAGATTGTCCTGTACATACAGTTAGTAATTACTTTAGGCTGTACTCAGCTGATCAGAAGCCAAGGGAATAAATGATGTTACTATGTTATTCTGTACAAACTTTTGTTCTTGCTTTATTCAAAACAAAAGCCTACTGTTATCCATCTCTTCAAGATTATTTCATTGGAACTGTAAAAACTGATTTTTCTACCATATGATTTTATCTTGTTAGTTGTTGTGAACGTGTAATGGCTTACTTTTTGGCTTTATTATCTTCTTTTTTTTGTCACAAAATATTTTACCTTAAGTAAACTTTTAGGCTTAATTTCTCTTTTTTAAATCATGGAAAATTCCCATTGTAACATATAGAAAATCAAAACAAATGATTCAGCGAAGAGACTCTTTTCAACGAATTTATCATCAAGCTGTACAATCGTATATATATGGTTTTTAAGAAGTTATATCCGGTGAGGGAATTGAAACATAGGTGTGAATGCATAAAATAATAATAATAATATGAAGTGCAATTAAAACTAAAATGTTTGTGATTATAATCGTAGTTAAATGTCAAGTGGCAAAGCAAATTATTCTATATATGACATTAATTTGCTTTGCCACTTGACATTTAACCATGATTATAACCACAAATATTTTAATTTTAATTGCATTTCATACTATTATTACTATTATTATTATTATTTTATGCATTCACACCTATGTTTCAATTCCCTCACCGGATATAACTTCTTAAACACCATATATATACGATTGTACAGCTTGATGATAAATTCGTTGAAAAGAGTCTCTTCGCTGAATCATTTGTTTTGATTTTCTATAATTTCTCTTTCTCAATTTTTTAAATTTAATTGTATGACCTGTATTGCTTGCCGTCAATACTTTGACCTTACTGTCAGTGAACCAAATTTTTTTTTGATGAAGTTATCATAGAAGAAGAAATAAATAAATTCTTAAAAAGACATAAATTTATTCGCCGATTAACCTATATCTGTCTTACTTTATGAGCGTTGTGTTGACCTAAAGTATGGAAAATTAAAATGGGATGTTGTCTTATCAATGAATTCTTTCACTTTTATGATACTTAAGTCTAATTATCGGTGTTTGTTTGGCAGACAATGCAAACTTGGATGGTTATTCGGTTCATTTCTGAAACTGCTTAAGAGTGTTGCGTGACACTTGTACTCACTCATAATCCCTAGGTATTTGTGCACTAATAGGGCATATTTCGCGAATTTTTTGAAGTCAGGCGAAATTCATGGGCTTCATTTTTTAAAATAGTATTTATATGAGTGATGATTTAAAGAATGAAAATGAAGTGGATTATAAGAAGTAATCACCAAACTTCGAAATTCCTTTTGAATAACTGTAGGAAATGAATTGTGTTTGAAAGATAACCATACGAACAATGTTCCTCACAATAATTAGTGTGTAAACCTTGTATTGTACTTGTGTTAGCTAGAAAAGTTGTTTCTTTAGTTTCACGTTCATTAAGTTTTACAGTTAGAGACATCTCTCAGTTTCTTTTAATTCATCCATCAGTTTCATTTGACATGGTATAAATCAGTTCACTTCAACTGCTTCAACAATGCATACAACGGAAGTTATCAATCTGAGAATGAATAAGTCGGCAAAGTTAAAGTATGATAGCCAAAGTCAAAGTCTTCCAAAAGCTGACTTTCAAGAACCAATCAGACAAAAGGAATGCTATGAAATATCTTTCCAAATCAAGCCATATCTGCCTTTTTAAACTTGGAGAGGATAGATGCAGTATTCCAATAATTCTCTAGGTACTTTTTCTGCAAATCCATGCTGTTAGGTAGGATTATGGATTTTAAGATTAAGGCTTAAGGTTAAGGTAAGGATTAGGGTTGAATTTAGGATCAGAAGTAAGGATTATGGTTAGAGTTAGGAGTAAGTTGAAGAATTCCATATCAATTTGTTTATTAGATGTATCACACAGTCAGTGAAACAGTATTATTGACTGGATGACTCTTCGGACACAATTTACTGTTCATAATCATATCATCAATTATAATCACACGACTTCGAAACTTGAGTTTTATAGTTTTCTTTAGTTCTCTCCTATTTGTCGTAGGGGGAGTAGAATTTTCCAGATATCGGGGACAGGTGATGAATCATTCCTATTACATGTATTTGCAGTTGATTCGATAAACAAAGCTTCCTTTATCAATCTCTCCCTCCACCCCGTGACATTAGATTTCAAAACTGTCATCCTATCCCATCCTATTGTATGGTTGTGTGTAACTGCAAGTAGTCCCATAGTTGCACTATTCTCTAGATTTCTTATCTTATTCGGGTCAACTAATCTAGATTTCGCTAGGTTTTTATGTGCGGCTAATCTGATGGCCCTTGTTCTGATAGTTTGACCTATGTATTTGACCTAACAATCATTGCAGGGTATTAGATAAACTAAATTGTTTTGTTTGGTGGGTTCCACAGGATCCTTTAACCGACAAAGCTTGTTTCTAATTGAGTTTGTGGGTTTGAATGCCATTTTTATTCCTGCCTTGTTAAGAATTCTGCGTAAGGTTTCCGAGGCTCTTTCCTTGTATGGAATTACTACTGATGATTTAGATTCCTTATTTTTAGTGTTGTCACTATCCCGCGTATGTTTGACATGCATGTCGTCATTATTATTATTATTATTACTATCACTACTATCATTAATCAACTGCAAATACATGTAATAGGAATGATTCAACACCTGTCCAGACGGATATCTGGAAAATTCTACTACCTTTACGACAAATAGGAGAAGACAAAGAAAACTATAAAACTCAAGTTTCAAAGTCGTGTGATTACAATTGATATGATTATGAACAATAAATTTTGTTCGAAGAGTCATCCAGTAAATAATACTGTTTCACTGACTGTGTGATATATCTAATAAACAAACTAATATGGAATTACTTACTATCGCAGTGCACAAGTCTTACACATATATTAGGTTGAAGAATAGTTTCAGAAATATCAATGAATCTCAAAGTGCCATGACCTGCAGTCACCTGGATGAGTGGGTATATCGCACATGGTAAGATTTCTCCATAGATCATCTGTGTATTGACTGGGAGACATTCTTACAACACATAAGCTACAACTATACAGTGTAATATCAAGTTTGCAATATTTTGTAGTGTATTTTTCAATGATTATGTGATTTTTTTGCATCTGAGTTCTGTTTGGTTGTTCAAGGTAACCCTGGTTTCGACTATGATAGTTTAACTTTGTCAATAAGCTTAACTTTGATTTTATAACTTATTCAAGCTCATGTTAAAAATAGTAAATCTTAGATTACGTCAGCGAATTGCCTAATAAGAAGACAACTCAGTGAGTAGATCGAATGGATACAAGATAATTACAATAAAGTATTTTAGATGGACTTAAGATCATATAAAAGCAATTAAGTTTAAAGTAGGCAAGTGAAAAATTCTGGGTGATTGTTAACTGCACTCAGAGAAATTTGTTTTCTTAAAATCAATACTTATCATCTTAATCTTTCATTGTAGCATTCTTCATTTTATTGTTCGTGTCATAAATGAAAAGAAATATAAGTTTATTTCCAATTAAAGTCATTAACCTGCGTGCACATTGTTTACCTACAGCCATATCACAGTTTCTTCTGAATAAGGGAAAATAGTTACACTACGTATATTGGAAACGATTTATTTAGTATCATTTTGTAGATAATCGGGTGGTATTAAATATATCGACTGTTCCATGTAAAGTGTAAATTGACGAACTTTCTAAACTAGTTAATTGAAGCTGAAATATGTGTTTCGTTTTATCCATCTATTGTCATCCTCGGTGTGTTTCTGAATTTGAATTTTGATTAGATAGTCTTTATTTAGTTCAAGAATAGTACTCCCCATTCATACTTATTTCTTTGTTGGTGGATAATGAACTATTAATTAAGGTTGAATTTTGATTTTTGTTTTTTTGTTTTGAATGTAGAATTCGTATGGAGGATGAAATTAAACTATTAAAACAACGTAAAGAAATAGAAATTCAATCACTTCAACTATCAGGTAAGAAAATATAAGAACAAAATTCCAGAGAACATTCTCTTATTTTTATAGAAAATCAGAAAATGCTCGAAGAAAAAATGAAAACATTTGAACAGCTTAAACAAGATTTGATAAAACAACAAAACAAATTCACAGAAATGGAAGTAAGTATTCCCATTTGGTTAATGGATTTTTATTGCTAATGTTTAGTGAAATGCGAGTGGAAAAAAGTCACTTGTTCACATAGTGGTCATTGGACGTTTTTAAATATAATGTATACTTGAAGAGTGAACATCCTTTTTAGCCTGACTGTGGGATTATCGGGTTATCCACCCACACTCGAGAAGGCCTTCGACAGTGTTAACCAAGATGCAGTTTGGAAACTGCTTCAACACTACGATGTGCAGTATCTGAGTCTTTATCAAACTCATTCAACAACTAGCTATATGGCAGTACCACATTTCAGATGATACATAGCGGGAAACTTAGTGAGGCATTCGAAGTGAATACAGGAGTAAGACAGAGCTGTTTGTTACCATCATGGATGATATTCTTAATTGTGGTGGACTGGATTATGCATCAAACTGTACAAGGGGAATGAGAAGACAGGGATGCGTTGGACCTCTGAGAAGACTCTAGAAGATTCGGATTTCGCAGGTGATTTGTGTTTAATGTCACACAAACTCGGAGATTCGCAGGCGAAAACCGACAGACTGGCAGAGAAGACAGGACTCCAGGTGAGCATAGAGAAGGCGTAGGTGATGAAGCTGACCAACCAACTAACAGTGACAACAACTATCAGCAACAGTCACCATTAACGAGAGAGAAATGTCAGAGGTTACTTCCTTCACTTATCTAGGAAGCATCGTTTCAAATACAGGCGGATGGCACGGATGGAGATATCAAAGCCAGCCAGCCAGATTCGGAAAGGCAACAAACGCCTTCATCAACCTGAAACCAGTTTGGAAATCTTCTGCACAAAGTTAGCATAAACAACAAGATTCGGATTTTCAACACCAATGTGAAGTCGCTCCTTCTATACGGGTCAGAAACTTGCACCGCGTGTCACGAAATGGATTTTCAACAGGTTTCAAACCTTTATCATTAGTTGCCCGCTTCGCTGTCTTCATAGTGAAGATCAAATGCACACCCAGAAAGAATTAGTAACAAGAATCTCTGACTGGGAACAAACCAACAAGCCAGAGCCGATCGCTCAACAAATGTGTAGGAGAAAATGGAGATGGATTGGTCACACACTGAAGAGACTGTCTAATGACATCGCGCGCCAGGCCATAGCTGGAGCGGGATCCGAATGGGGCGCGACGAGTGGGTCGTCACTTCGACGGTGACATGGATTAGATCGTGTGAGGAATAGATAAGAGATTATGGGCAGTCGTGGACTCAGCTGAAGAGGACAGCACCGAATAGAGTAACGTAAGGACGTGATTTTGAAACCCTATGTTGTACTTGGAACCCGAGGGAATAATAAAGAACCCGCTCAATTATGTCTGACTCTAATCTTCATCCCAGTCGATGACTTTCTTTAACAGTGCCAAATATGTTTCATAATTAAGTTTCAGGACTAATAATGTCTGTGACACTGTAAATGCGGTAGTTTCGGACCACATATCATTTATCTGTCTCGGCAATTATGACCGATTATTATTTGGATTGTTGGGAAAATGGATTCGATTCCCTACTGACAAACTCTTTAGACTCCCCCACCCGATGGTAAGCCTGGTATTGAGAGATGGCTGCGTATGGGGCTATAAACCACATCAAGGCTTTCAAAACTTTAATGCTTGAAGCCTTAAATTTCACTCGGAGTGTTGTATATATATATATATATATATATAAATATGGATTAGCGTTCATAAATTATGAACCACTTGCTGCTCATAATTTTGACTGCAAAGGTTTTGATGGTAATAATATCTTTGTAAGGAAAGATGCGTTCATACACAGTTCAGAATTCTCAGCGTGATTTACTGTAAAGTATTTGCTCATTTTACGGAATCTTCAAGCAAAAGATAGTCAATAATGCATATATCCACCATGAACCTCAAACATTTATTGCGTTAGTCTAGCCATCTCAATCAATGTAGCTTCAAAACTTCATCGATCAGATTACCTTCTTTACCTAACACTCAACCTGGATATTACTCAACATATTAAACCACTTAATAAAGGAAAATAGAACGCTAACGTCTGTAGTTAAAGATAACTAGCCCTTTCATAGCTTTCACTTTCGATGGACATTTCTCACAGCCACAAAGGAAATAGAGAACTACAGCGCAGTACACACGTACTTTGACCGATAGCCGGACATTCTGTCTACACCGCAGATGACGTAAGTTGGTGATTGCCATACAAGCCCTTCTTGTCCTTGCTGAGATTTCGTCAGCAATCAGTTCACTGGGGCTGACTCGAATTCCAAATAAGTGAGGTGGTCAACATGCTCTACCACTTCATTCCCTACCCTTAAACTAGAAGTTGGTGAATTCCAGTCCTGTAGCATCATCTTACGTTTGACAAGAGCGAATTGCATCCCAAACATTGGAAGATTTTTGCTCAAGGTTTTCAAAAGACTCTATCTTTTTTGGCGTCCTCACCTAGAAAGACAGTATCATCCAGATACTCCAATTCGCTAAGATTGTCCGTCGGTAACAAGTCAATCCCTAAGTCACTAATGTTTGTTACTATCAATTTCATTAGTACACCTATTATGAAAGTAAACAAAAATGAGGACAGTGGACATGTCTGATAGACATCACTAGTTGCTACCACTTCAAATGACAGCCTTCCGCAGGCGCTTACAGGGGAAACGTGAGTTGGGGTAGAGTACCTTAATTAAGGCCATAAAGTTTCTCAGCACTCCTTTCACAGCTAAACATTGCCTATAGAGACAACGAAAGCTTTGCAACTACGCCAGTATTATCCATCTGAGCTCTAAATCCTCTCCATTATATCTATAGAGTCAAGTATTTTCAAAAGATTTTAAGTAAATTCTATTAGAAAATTGATAAGTACAAGTCAACAGATTGCTGTTGACTGGACTGGTAACTTTGTTTGTGAATACAACTCAAGTTTACAAACTCGCCCAAAGAGTATACATAGTTTCTTGTTGTTTTTCGATATGTCGTCTGTATTTTTTACGTAAATAATTTATTATTAATAAACGAATCAATACGGTATTTTTGATATAACTATTACATCTTTAGAAAGCAAAAGGACTGAGCAATCCTTTTGCTTTCTGAATGTCTAAATGGGGATTTTTTTTCTATATTACATTTTTCACTTTCTTTTAGATTAATGACTACGATACTATTAAAACACAGAATGAAGTATACAAAAATGAAATCACCAATTTACAAAAGTAATTCTCAATTTTGTTTCCCCTGCCATCGGTAATTTGAAAAGAAGTATTGTGACTAGTGAAACTTTGGAAGTGTTGCAAAGACTCAGTTTTTGTTAATACTTAATTTTTGGTTACAAGATTTTCATCATGAGCTGACATTAGTTAGAGAACCATTGGAAAACCTGGGAGTACTGAACAGCTGTTTCGTCCTAGTTTGGGACTCTTCACCAGTACACACCCACCGGGATTCGCGCGCTATGTCGTGAATTGGCAGAAGTTAGAATTCATGGGCCATTGGATCGGGTCCCAGTGGCTTAATGGTATATGAGCTTGCCTTGTAACCAGAAGGTCCTAGGTTCGAATCCCGGTGGGTGCGTACTGATGAATAGTCCCAAACTAGGACGAAACAGCTGTCCAGTACTCCCAGGTTTTTCATTGGTTCTCTAACTAATGTCAGCTCATGATGAAAATGCTGTAACCAATCAAATCCCTACAGACCAACGCTTAACTTTTGCTTTACAATGATTCCATTTTAAGACGGTGATTTATCCAGTGTGAAATATTTTGCACGCAACTTTTAAGATAATAGGAAAAACTCGGTTTTCTTCCTATATGAATACAACATAATAATATGTATTGAGGTATTCAGCTTGTAAAGTTTATTTAAAAAAAGGCGTCGGTGGCACAGCCGTTAGGACGCTCGCCGACCATGCACATGGTTCGGGGTTCGATCCCCGGCCAACGCACACCTGATATCAATGGTCGGCCTGCTAAATCTGGGCTACCGATATCACATGCTGAAAATTCCATACTTGTATCAAAAATACTGTGTGCAGTCAAGCTATAATAAAATTAAAAAGTAAATAAAATAAAATTATTACTTATTTTAACTAAAATTTCAACTGGCTTTACTTAATTATTGGCTATAACACCATCCAGTGTAGTGGCGAACTTTGTAAACAAATCGGCTGCTAAACGATATTCAACGTTGACACCTACTTATAAGTACAGATCAAATGTAAGTGTCTTACGGGGGACTAAAAGACTACCAGGACTTTGCCTCAGCAAAACGCGTTTATCATTGTCTTAGTCTTCAGGAAATTTCCAAATATCAAAAATGTTACCTCAATTAAACGATTTATTTTTTTTATTCACATCATTTGAGGATTGATGTAGGCATTTCACTAACTGACAGATATATATGATTTCATACAACCGGTTCCCTTTATTAGTTTGAAGAGAGAAAGAACGAACATGTTTGCAGGATAATACGAGCTCGTTTTATTTCGTGGATACTCATCAACTGCATATACCCTAAGCAAAATCAAATTATAAGTTTCAAAAAAGTTTTGGAAACCATAATTTTCATAATTACTTGGAGTTATCGATAGAAGGTATAAGGAACATAATTCCAGAATTTGATGTAGGTAGACAGATCATTCAGTGTCAAAAGCAACTAACTAAACATAGTGGAATTAGATAAGAGGGGTTAGAGTTCAGATTTTTGTTAGAAAACACAGATTGGTTAGAGGCATTATACAGGGTCAGGGTCAGAGAACATAGTGAATTTACACTCCTTGTGGTGGAGAGTTTAGGAGGGTGGGGGTGAATAGTGAAGTAACATTTTTAACTTTCAACAGTCAATTAAGTGGATTTAGAAACTTGATAGTCAGTTCAACTTAGTAAGTGAAAGTCAAAATTGATTAGAATGTTTCGTAACAAGACAAACACACAGGCATACTGACAAAAAGGTAAAACAAAATAAAATAGAATTAGGGTTACCAGGTTAGTGAAAGATTAGTCACACTATCTTTCTGTATACAGAGGTCTGGTCGAAGTCTCTTGATTGCATTGGCTTCTGCGAAGCTAAGTAGCCGTGGGTTTCTTTTGTGTATTGATTATTTTGAAGGCTTGGCTGACTTCTACTGTGTGTCCTGTGTCAATTAAATGTCTGGCGATTGCACTCGATAACACTTTTCTTCCTTTTGTCCGAAGACTTTTTGGAATGTGCTCAGAAAATCTAGTAGATGCTCTCCTCTCAGTCCTTCCTATGTACTTGCTTGGTAAATGCAGTTGGAGTTGACGTGATCAGGGTATTATCTACTTTTGACTGGGTTAACGAGCACACAGTGTTGTTGAATATATATATATATATATATATATATATATATATATTGCAAAAATGTCCATTCAGACATCTATAAAAACAAAATAATCGAGCAAAGAATATTCTTTTCGATAAATTCCTCTTCCAGGCTCTACAATTATATATATGTTTTTATACACAGAATATTTTAAAATAGTAGTCAATAACAATATTAGCGTTTTTTTAAATAATATCGATTTGTAAAGTATGATCAATGCTATTGCAGTTCATTAAAGATGCTTAAATTATAATAATAATAAAGATATAACAGCGAATAGAATATCAACTAAAATTAGGGAAATTTCACAAAAATTCTGGATTATTCAAACCTGGATGGCCAAGGTAATGATAATGACTGGACTAACTTCTTTTGAGTGCATAAATTAGGCTTATTAATATGGATCCCCACAGCCTCAGCAATATTTAGAAGTCGAACTCTTAAAGCGAAATTGAGATTCATAGGTATGCGGTAAATGACCCTGAAAGCATGATTAACGTCAATCTTGTGTTCTGTCTCCACAAGATGCGCCAGAATAGCACTGCGAATAGATTTTGTTTGACCTTTGCTTATAATACGATTTATACACCCAGGCAAAAAGTGGATGTGATGTGAAAACACTTGAGTTGTTATTATTTTATTCTCTTTTTTTTCAGACAGCTAAAAAATGCCGTAGTTGAATTGGAAGAACAAAAACAAAGTAAGTCAATAGCAGTTTCGTTATAAAATCTTAACACCTACCCTTCTTCGTGTACCGTGATAGCAGGACTTTTTAAAAATTTAAGTACACAATATTCAGTAAAGGAACTTTTCTCAGTGAATCTTTTATCAAGCTGCAGGTATATGATTTTTAGGAAAATGTATCGTGTTAGCAAATTTAAACAAAAGCTTTGAATTCTAATAGAAATTTTGTGAATCACGACAAAATATTTGTGATTATAATCATAGTTCAATATCAAGCGATAAACAAATTATGCAATACATAAAATAGTCCATAGAACGTATAGATAGATCTTAGAAAAGGGTGTAAACTTAAGTGATTTGATAGGATTAGTAGTTAAGTAAAAACACTCCGTGACAAGGTGAGAAGTTTGATAAGATAGCGTTTAACATTGCAAAAATATATTCAATTAAAATAACAATGAGACAAGTGAAATCAATGTTAGGGTTGGCTGAGTGACAGAAGTCGATCAATTGTCCCAAAAAATACAGCTACTTACACTTTTCCTTTCATTCTTATAAAACAGTGATGGAATTCGCCCTGGCATCCTTGTGAAAAGCATTTCAATTTATAAAGCTATGAAGAATCGCTGTTTGAGCTTCTTATCCACTTTTTAGTCAAGGGAAATCTGAATCACCGTTTAGTTTCCTTAGAATTTCTTTGAACCTTCCGATTTTCTATAAAATATTGAGAAAGAATACGTGACTAGAGTGTTTACATGAATTTGAACTGGAAGAGTACTTTTTGTCAGACAATGATTTAATCTTTGGATCAGAACTATTTGTCAGTCTGTTTCTGAGACTTTTGAAAATTAAGTCAGTGATGAATGATTTGACACTCGCAGATCATTTTTCCCAGTAGTTAGAAAGAGGAAAGGTTTAAAAAGAGCAGTGTTAAATACTGAACTTGAGTCACTATAGAAGAAAAAAAGTGACCATTGTAGTGAAGTTAATTGCCAGCATATCTATGAAAAGTTTTCAGTCAGAAAACTTAGCTCAAAATGTTAATATATGTGTAAAACTTCGGCACTGTGGTAGTAAGTAATTCCATATTAGTTTGTTTATTGGATGTATCACACAGTGAAACAGTATTATTTACTGGATGACGTTTCGAACAAAATTTATTGTTCATAATCATTTCAATTGTAATCAAACGACTTTGGAACTTGAGTTTTATAGTTTTCTTTATCCTCTCCTATTCATCGTCGTAGGGGTAGTAGAATTTTCCAGAAATCTGGGACAGGTGTTGAATCATTCCTATTACATATATTTGCAGTTGATTCGATAAACAAAGCTTCCGTTATTAATCTCTCCCTCCACCCTGTGACATTAGATTTCAAAACTGTCATCCTATCCCATCCATCCTATTGTATGGTTGTGTGTAACTGTATGTAGTGCTATAGCTGAAATATTCTCTAGATTTTTTATCTTATTCGGGTCAACCAATCTAGATTTTGCTAGGTTTTGATGTTCAGCTAGGTCGAACTAGTAGAACAGGGCAGTCAGACTAGCTGAACATAAAAACCTAGCAAAATCTAGATTGGTTGATCCAAATAAGATAAGAAATCTAGAGAATATTTCAGCTATAGCACTACATACAGTTACACACAACCATACAATAGGATGGATGGGATAGGATGACAGTTTTGAAATCTAATGTCACAGGGTGGAGGGAGAGATTGATAAAGGAAGCTTTGTTCATCGAATCAACTGCAAATATATGTAATAGGAATGATTCAACACCTGTCCCAGATTTCTGGAAAATTCTACTACCCCTACGACGATGAATAGGAGAGGACAAAGAAAACTATGGAACTCAAGTTTCAAAGTCGTGTGATTATAATATATGTGTAAAACTTGGGCACTGTGGTAGTAAGTAATTCCATATTAGTTTGTTTATTAGGTATATCACACAGTGAAACAGTATTATTTACTGACGTTTCGTGTGATTATAACTCATATGATTATGAACAATAAATTTTGTTCGGTCGGTCGGTCGGTCGGTTTTCGACATAGAACTTTGCACATATGTGCGACAGTTCAAGTTGCCACACTCCATGTAGCACACAAAGCAAGAGAAGGAAGTAGAAGAAATGAATGATATAGACAGTAAACAGAGGTGTGAGACAAAGGTATAGTAATAACGGAGAACAAAACAGTTTCATTGGAAATCATAAGTCACAAGGAGTGGATGCATCTGCGCCACTGAGAACGATTTTGAGCCATATCACCAATTGTTTCCAACCATTGGTTTTTACCATCCCGAGGGCCCCAACCAGGAAGTCTACACCTTCCTATGTGGCCTAGACTAACTGTTTTAGATTTCATTGACTGGTGCCATGTTTTGGTTTGACCGCCGCTGGCTCTTTTCCAGCCTGACCCTATATCAGCTAACATTGCCCGTCGAGGAAGGCGATGACTAGGCATACGTAGCACATGTCCTAACCATCTCAGTCGAAGTAATTTCACCGTTTCGTCGATTGATTTCCCCTCCTTACCTAGCACTCGACGCCTAACCTCAATATTGCTCACCTTATTATACCACTTCACACCCTTCGACAGATTCTAGAACATAGGCATTCCTACCGGCGTCCGATAATCATTATATTTCTTGACCTAAAGGCGGCATTGGATTCTGTCGACCGGGAGGTTCTCTGGCGATGCTTGGCTGTAAAGGGAATGCCAAGAAAATACATTGCAAATTTTGTTCGAAACGTCATCCAGTAAATAATACTGTTTCACTGTGTAGTACATCTAATGAACAAACTAATATGGAATTAGCTCAGAGTAATTGTCAGTTAAGACGTTCTATTAATGAGCTGTAATTAATAACAGTTATTTTAGTGGATTACTTATTATTCATAATCAACTATTTCGTTGTTTTCTGCATGCTTTTCTGGAATGTCTTAACCTCAGATAACTTGTTAGAATAGACAATGGATAGCGGCACACACGGGTTACGGAGAGGCTGAGCACTTCTAGGTCACTTTTGCACGTTGTGACTGGTGGTTTCGAGTTTACGTATACGTTTCGTTTTTCTTAACGTAATCAACAATTTACACAGAATTTTAACATTCCATATGCACAGAAACAACGAAATTCGTTGGCACATACATGTCCACTTAAAATGCTCACTACGTCTACTTTCCACCATTTTTCTAAGTTTTTTCGTTAAAATATGGTATTTATAATGTATTTCAGTTGAAAGAAACACCTGAAAACAACGTAGAACAACCAAAACATAACATCACGATAACACCTAATATCACCCAGTGTATGCCGCTATCCATTGCCGTTAGATTATGTCCTATTTATTTAGGATAATTTTATTTGACGCTTGGTTTGTCAAACAGTTTACAGTTGCTTATACCTTACGTGGAAAATTTTGAGCTGCTGTATGGTTTACCCAAGGTTTATGTAGTCTTTTTTTCTCACTGTATGAATAGGCTTCAGAAGGCTTAATTTCGCAGTGGTAGGGGATTTATTTTCTATCTATTATCACTCACTGAAATGTCATCCGTCATAGATTTATATAGAAAATCAAAACAAGTGATTCAACGAAGAGACTCTTTTCAACGAATTTATTATCAAGATGTACGATGGTAGATATATGGTTTTCAAGAAGTTATATCCCGTGAGGGAATTGAATCATAGGTGTGAATGCATAAAATAATAATAATAGTATGAAATGCAATTAAAATTTAAAAAATTGTGGTTATAATCATAGTTAAGTGTCAAGTGTCAAAACAAATAATATCATATATAGAATAATTCATAGGATGAATGGAACTTGGAAAGGGTGTGCAATTATAGGATTAGTAGACAAATAGAATAAAATAAAAACGCTACGTAATATTGTGTGAAATCTGATAGCACAGAATTTAACGTTGTAAGAAAAAGAATTGATTTAGAATGACAAGTGGAACAAGTGAAATAATACCGGGGACAATTCAAAGTGATAGTAGTAATAGTAACAACTGACGTAATAAGGAAGAAAATACAAATTAAATAGACGAAATGAAAAAAAATGAAAAATTGGTAGAGCCAAAATATGATTTGGGACTACCATACTTTATTTAGCATAGAGGGATTAAGACCATGAAAGTTGGAGGGGTTGAACGAAATTTTTCTGTACACAAAGATCTGGCTTTTCTGTTTGGATAGCCAAAGTTTCAGCAATACAGATGAGTCGGGTACGTAGGGATTTGGGTAAATTACTCTTTGACTTGTAGATGACTTTAAAGGCGGAGGCTATAGAGATAGGGTGATCATTATCGACCAGCTGTTCAATGATCGCGCTTCTTATTGCTCTGTCAGTCTTTTCAATTTCTAAACTGCTGACATTTTATGTCACATATTTTTGATGTTAATACATGTCCCATTTTCTTATAAAGTAATATGATATGAAATTATTATTATTACTACCTGCTGACTTTGTAATAGTACCTACTAAAATACTTTCTTATTTGGAAGTACATGTATACTGACTAATGCCACGCATGTTAGCAACACTTGTTTGTCAGTCACCGAGTTACTCTAACGTATTGTGACTTCAATTACCTTTTAGATTTGTCGGGGTTTTGAGAAATTGATTAGCTTCAAGTTTTAACTCTAAGGAGACCGTAAATGATAGAGCTATGCGTTGCTTTTAAAGGCAACCACTTTAGCAGTGATACTGCAGTCACAGCTACAGAAACTGGTACTGATTGGGATTAGATCTGTGTTGTGTTATATGGACCGTTTGTCGGCTCAACAATAATGTCTGGATTCCCTAAAGCATCTTCTAGAACTGTCATTGAATAGTGTGGTGAGAGCTGGCTGCTAGCCAAATTGGTAGACAGTAATTTACGTCAATGTTTACGTCCCCAATATTGGTCGTGAGAAAATAAGAACAAAGACTGATTCAACAACCAGTCACAGCAGACTTTGCGTAGGCGGATACAATTTGCAGATGGATAATCTGAACTTCAAGAAACGGCCACAAAGAGATGAAAGACTAACGTTCAGCGAGAAACCACCAATCAGAAGACTGTAATTGTTTGCTTAAATAATCTACAGTAATGTACATGAAAATCTATAAATATCTGTTGATTTCCTAAATAAACGATCTGCTGCCTGGTCCTTGTCTTCTATTGTTACAATAGAACAAAGCATAAAGCAATTAACATAAGCATATTCTAGGGCTATCAAACTGATATCATCAAAACAATGAGAACTGCTTTTTTAAAGCTACAACCTTTAATTTTCTAAGATTTAAAAGGTTTCGCTAAATGAGATGTACAGCAGTACCTTTAACATCGTCAGTAAATTATTTCTTCTTTGTACAACGCCTGCAAGCCATTTATATGAAAGGGTGAGAAATGATAATCCCAACTACTTCATGTAAAATCGCCTCCAACAAATGTTCCCATAAGAGAAATTGTATTACACACTTCATACAAGAATTCTCCATATAATTATTTTTTTATTCCTTCACGTTCCCCAGTGGAACATAGTGCTTCAAGCTAGAGGCTTGAAGTTTCTGTAGCAGTGGTTATTATTTTTTACCGGATTGGGTTGCTAACCTCATGCCCAACCTTTCCTCTTAACCAGTCTTATTTCTGGCTTAGCGAGGTAAAGGAGTGCGTCGGCTGGGGATCGAACCCTGGACCATGTGCATGGTCGGCGAGCGTCCTAACCATTGTGCCACCGACTCGCTCCATATAATTATGCTGCTGTTTATTCCAACGTTAGGCCCAAAATATAGGTCTATCATAATGAATTTGAAACTACTGTCCTTGAAAGTACACTACATCTAGTTACGTTGTAAGTTTTGTGTTTGCTTAAACAGTTTCAGATTCACTATTTATGCTGATGTCATCTCATCCATAAAAGAATAAAGATAAGCTAAAATCTTTTTCTAGGAAAATCCTATCGACAGTAGTTTGATGAAATACTCCCAGAGGAATGAAAGTACTTTATATTAATATTAATTATAATGCATATCTACTTTTCTTATATACTGACACCATTCAGTAAATCAATGTGTCGTTAATTGAAGACCTACATATTTCTATGGTTGCTAAAACATTCACGGAATTAATGATATACTTCAAAATTTGTCATTCATTCGAAATATTCATTTGACAGTTACTAAGAGTACATGTTAGCTACTAAATACATGATGAACCTTAGTCATCATGCAGAGCATATAATGATATTTAATATAGTATATTAGTCAAAAACAAACTATCCGTATTTTGACTGGACACTAGTTACTGTCTAGTGTCCAGTCAAAAATATCCACTACAATCCTACAGGAGGTCAGTCGCGAGCCCAGACAGCTCAGTGGTAACGTCTCTGACTACAACACTGTGGGACGCTGGTTCGAACCTCAGAAGGAATATGAGTTCCTTCAAGGTTGCAGATACTCCTTACTGACGAGCGCCAACTAAACCTAGGTCCAAGGCTTCCTGCCGATTGCCTCCAACCATCTAATATCAACAAACTATCCGTAATTAACAAATCTCACCAGTTAACCACATAACCAGCCGCACCAATCTCTAAATAATTATAACTGTCTCAAATTTAGAATACTTATTTTTCTTTTAATCATATGAGTTTTAAGGAGTGAAAGAAAACATCTCTGGATCGATCATTTTCTATTACATATCAGTTGACATACATTTACCCTTTTCTCTTAGTCTCTCTGTATACATATATATATCCCTGGTTTTTCTACCATATGTCAGGTTGATATAATTGTTTATAAAACTGCCAAGGACATTTAAACTCAAAAAAATCCATAATCATCTCTACCTTTCGAATATGCTAATAATATACTTAATAAATCTAAACTTCTAATCCTTGTAAAAGTCAAATATCAGGTAAACTTGAATTGTATCATCTTTACTTCTTTTGTTTTTCAACATACAGTTACAGCATCAGCAACCACAGAATTAGGCGTACTAAGCGTTGTCAAACAAGAAATTGAAAGATTGATGAATACTTTAAACAATGATCGTGTAACATTTATTCAAGAGAAAATCAATTTACAAAAGAAGCTAAGCGAACAAGTTTGTTCTGTTCTTGACATAACTGAAACCATTTTATATTTCGTTTCACTTCTGTATCAGTATGACTTTTGATTATTTATTATTACTGTTATTCTCTTGAGTCCTGAGGAGAGCGAAGCGTTTAGTAGCACACCTCAGTTTCGCCTTCTTCTCTACAATCGTTTTTAGCTGACTCTACGGCCCCCCTCCCGATAATCTTTCAACTCCTCTACACAGGATCTCCTTCGTGTTATAGTTGGACGCCTAACTTTTCATTTCCCATTCGAGTTCAATTCAACAGCCTTATGCGTAATGCCACTCAAGCGTTTGCTTAGTGTGTGTCCAGTCCATCTCCATTTCCTTCTACATATCTGTTGAGAAATAGGTTCTCGGTTGGTTCGTCCCCAGAGTTCTTAGTTGCTTATCCTTTCTGGTCATATGATCTTCAATATGCAGAGATGGCAACTGTTGATGGAAGTCTTCAGTTTGTTGGAAATGTTTTTCTTGAAGCACCAATTCTCTGAACCATATAGGAGAACTAAGTTGATATGAGTGTTGAAAATCTGAATCTTAGTCTTAATGCTGAGTGCAGTAGGTTTACACTTGGATTTCAGAGTAGTGACGGTCTGTAATTCTTTTCTGCTGCTAGACTTGATATCCGTATCTGTACTGCCCGTATTTGAAATAATGCTGCACAGATAAGTAAGAGAGGTAACCTCCTTTGAATCTCTACCGTTGATGATGATTGACGCTTCCAATTGTTGGATATGTGTGTTCATCACCTCTGTCTTCTTCGTGTCCACTTCAATTCCGTTCTTCGTTGCATTTTCTACCGACCTGATGAATTTTGCTCATAGACCTTCAATTCCGTGTAACATTAGACATAAATCACCCATGAAGCTCAGATCTTCCAGTATCTTCTCGTCTGTTCATCGTATGTTTGTCTTCCCACTCTCGACGGTCTTTTACATAATTCAGCCTACCGCAATCAAGACTGTCTTCGGTAATAGTAGGCAGTGACTTATAATTAAAGACAGAGAATAGATCTTTTGAACTGTAAAATGGGTTTCGCCAAATGTGTATAAGATTTGCTACAGAAAAACGCTTACTGCATAGTCGATTCCTTCGTTTTTACCTACTTGAGAACTTATTCTGAAGTGATACTTTTTCACCAGTCACTGAAAACAAGAAATGATATTAATATGCTAAAAACCGTATTTACAGCTTATTAACTGATTGTGTTATCAGCTTTCAAGTTAGAATGGATTGTAGTCCAGTCGTGTATTTATCCTTTTTAGGCTAAATTTTGTATCTCGTTTACATGATGTGAAGATGTGACTCATCGGGTTAAGCCATCAACTTTATTTCCAACGGGTGTCAGATTCGAATCTTGCTTCACCTAGTTTGGCCTGAGTAAGTGGGTAGGATCACTACTTGTCACACCATAAGCATGTCTCGCAGTATAGTAGATGAAATATCTGTTCTGGGTTACTGAGTTATAATAACGAAAATTAGTTTACTTAAGAGATGCTTATACTATACTTCACTGAGTACGAATTATCTTGTTCCGGGGTTTTATCAAGCCTGAACAAATAAATAAACCTAGATAATTATCCTTACGATAATAACTATTATTACTGTTCCCTTGGGTTCCGAGTGGAACATAAGGCTTAAACATTACGTCTTCCCTTTGTTCTATTTTCTGCTCCCCTCTTCGGATGGGCCCATGACTGCCTATAATATCTTATCTTTTCTTCGCACCATCTCCTCCATGTCACCCTCACACTGACGACCCAATTGTCATTTCGCATTTGGATTTCACTCGAGGACTTGGCGCGCGATGTACTTTCAGTGTGTGCCCAATCCATCTCCATCTTCTTCTACCTATTTGTTAAGTGACTGGCTCTTGGTTGATTTGTTCCCATAGTTTCTTGTTGCTAATTCTTTCTGGCCGACCATTTGATCTTCAATACAAAGCAAAGTACCTGTTGGAAATGCTTTATTGACGCGCCATGTTTCTGACCCGTATAGAAGTATTCACTTCACACTGATGTTGAAAATCCGAATCTTGTTGTTTTTGCTGAGTGTAGAAGGTTTCCAAACTGATTTCAGATTGATGAAGGTGTATCTTGCCTTTCCAATTCTCGCTGTGACATCTTCATCCGTTCCGCCCGTAGTTCAGACGATGCTTCCTAGATAAGCGAAGGAAATTCTTATGATAAGAATTCACTCAATTTCTGGATATAAAAAGGATACAGACTAAGATACACAAAAGTATACTGTTGGTCTGATACTTTCTAGCAAATGCATATGGTAAAAAAAGAATGGATGGAATTTTTAGAATGAAAGCTTAAAAATGAGTTCACTTATGTATAGTAGATTTTAAAACAAAATTTTAAGCTGTTTTCATATTTGAGGAAGAGTTAACAACGTTGGGCAATTGAATTTAGTTGGCAGAATTTTAAGCTGAATCTGTGCTTTAAACTTTTAGGCTTATCCGAAATCTTGATAACATCTTTGCTCTTTGGGATATGCAAAATTGCCTCTTTCATTGCTGTAGTTAGATTCATGATTGGTTATTACTACATTGTGTGAATGACAATATTTTGTTGACTGACTCAAAAGATATAAATCCCGAACACAGACCATCACCGTTTCGGATAACTAATACATACCGCATTACGACAGCATGTGATAATTTACTTTCGAGATATGTTTGAAAAAAACCTACTAATTGTTTGGTTAATATAATAAGACCTATTTATGTTAGGTGGTTGGAGGCAACCATATAACATCAGCAATTCAAAGTGCACCGTGATGCCGAGCTACCTAGAATGGTGGACGTATTGCAAAACTGACTGACAGAATTCAGTCTGCACTAAACAAAAGACTAGACACATCAGACACTTGTTACTAGTGTCCAATGAAAGTATATAATAACACCTAGGCATTGCGGTAGAATGTAATTCCGTATTAATCTGTTTATAGGATGGATATATATCACAGTGAAATGTCATCCAGTAAATAACACTGTTTCACTGTGTAAAATACCCAATAAACAAACTAATATAGACTTGAAACAGTTTATTTTGATCTTCAGTGCTCTATTACAAAAGTAAAAGATATGTACCACTGTAGTCAAATATAATTCTGCCGATGAAATGGATGAAAAGTGAAGACCTGAAAAACGTGTATTTCTTGTGTTTTGAATAGCTGACACCTGTAAACGAATATGGATTAAATGCCGGTTAATAAATCAATGAATATACACACTCCTGGAATTCATACAATAAAACTGTAGGATTTTATTTCATTGTTAATAAAACATACTTTTAACCAATGAAGAGGCTTTGTTGTCTACTCTGTGAAAGTAACTTTGAAATAATGCAAAAGATCTACAGCTTACTTGGTTGTTATTCAAGTGTTGGTTTGTATGGATTTGATTGGTTACAGGACTTTCATCATCAGCTGACATTAGTTAGAGATGCTCACTAGCGACTTGCTCTATTCAGGTAGGTAGTTACCTGGGGTTCTACTGAGAAGCCATGACCAGTAGGGTGCAGCAGGTCGGGTGTGAGGACAAATACTTGCCGAAGACATTGGCTAGGGGTCACGCTATGTCGTGAATTGGTAGAACTTAGAATTCATGGACTGGCCATTGGATCCGGTCTCAGCGGCTTAATGGTATACGAGCTAGCTCACCTTGTAACCAGAAGGTCCTGGGTTCGAATCCCGGTGTTTGCGTACTGATGAGGAGTCCCAAACCAGGACGAAACAGTTGTCCAGTACTCCCAGGTTTACTTGGTTTTATTTGATGTTTGTGTACTGTCTCAACTTGCCAGCTTGATAGCGAGACTTTCAATATCTTTATAGCTAACATCTTAAGCAATAACTTTAATGTTAAATGAGGTTTTAAAATTTTCTGTGAATGTAATATCCGTCTTTGATAGTGTCACTGACTGTCACTGGTTGTTTCGAGAGATTTTCTTAGGATTGTATTTATTTGTACTAATAGTGATCGTCGCCATGACCCGATATCGGACCTTTTGATGAGATATATGTTTGAAGTACTTAACTTCCCATATAAAATTAAACTGAATAATTTTTTTTGTTTGTTTAAAAAATGAAATCCAGCAAAATGAAATACATAGACTAATGGAACGTCTCGCACTGCAGGATGGTGGAAATATTTATCTTGGACAGTATTGTTCTAGTCGTTGTACTGGAACCTGTGTTACTAATCATCCGCGTACACCTCATCAAAATGTAACCAAAACTCACCAGCTAACCGAAGCTGAACGTCGATCAATTTATGAAGGTGATCTATGATTCTTTTTTCTTCATTTAATATTTATTTGCTGTGCACTCAAATTTTTGCTTGAGTCTAATTTCCTCTTCATGTTTTGTAAGCGAATATGATGTACTCAGTCTAATTTCAGTAGATTGATTTAGTAATTATGTTGCGTTGAAGGTGTGTAACTCCATATGTAACTCAGCAAGAATGAGAAAACTAACGAAAGGTCTTTGTATACTACTCAGTAGGTAATTGCGCTCCCTTTAGAAATCGAATATTCAGTCTAGCAGAAAGAAATTCGAGTTAAATTTTGATTGAGGTCGATATGCGTAGCGATGTTTTAGGCTTTCACTTCATAACAGGACGTTTATTTTCTTCGTTTTGAAAGCTTTTTGAGGCTTTAGAAATGAAAACCAATCATTACTCCTTCACGGAGTTTCATGTGCAAATATTTTGAAGATTGTAGGATAAAAAGCAACATCGTGAAGTATTTTGAGTTTTTCATCTTTTCCAACCTGACTATTATTATTATTGTTCCCTTGGGTTCCTAGTGGAAAATAGGGCTTCAACTGCACGCCTCCACTTGCTTCTGTCTTCTGTTGTACTTTTCACCTGCATTCATGTTAGTCCATACTGTTTCAACTCCTCTTCACACGATCTCCTCCATGTCACCCTTGCACCGACGTCCCACTCGCCGCTTCCCTTTCGGGTTCCACTCGAGCATTGGCCTGATGCGCGATGTCACCCAACGGCCTCCTCAGCGAGTGTCCAATCCATCTCCACTTTCTCCTGCATATTTGTTGGGCGATTGGTTCTTGTTTTGTTTGTTCCCATAGTTTCTTGTTGGTGATTCTTTCCGGCCATCTGATCTTGAGTATAGAACGAAGACAGTTGTTGATAAAGGTCTGCAACAGGCTGTTGGAAATATTCTTTGTGACACACTGGCCAAGTTTCTGATCCGTATAGAAGAACTGACTGACTTGACGTTTGTATTGAAAATCCAAATTTTGTTGTTGATGTTGAGTGACGAAGATTTCCAGATTGGTTTCAGGTTGATGAATGTGTTTCTCGCCTTCCCGATTCTCGATTTGACATCCTCGTCCGTTCCTCCTTTAGTTGAGACAATGCTCTCTAGATAAGTGAATGAAGTAACCTCTTTCAAATCCCTCCCGTTGATGGTGATTGGCGCTGGATGTTGCTGTTGTAGTTGTTGTTGTTGGTTGGTTATTTTCACAACCTCTGTCTTGTCTATGTTCACCTGGAGTCCTGTCTTCACTGGCTGCTTCTTCGACGAGTTTGTCGGTTTTCGCTTGTGAGTCTTCGATTTTGTGTGACATCAAACATAAATCATCCACGCGCGAAATCCAGGTCTTCTAGGTTCTTCACGTCGGTAGCCAGGATATCCCTGTCTTCTCGTTTCCCACAGTCTGACGCATAATCCAGTCCACCACAATTAGGAATATCATTGGTGATAATAAGCACCCTTGTCTGACTTCTGTGTTTACTCCAAAAGCCTCGCTGAGTTTTCCGTTGTGGATCACTTGACATGTGCCGTTGTCGTACAGCTGTTGACTAAGGTTGATGAATATTTGGGGTACGCCGTAGTACTTGAGTAGTTTCCAAATTACTTCGCGGTCAACGCTGTCTGTCAAAGGCCTTCTCAAAGTCTATAAAGTTGAGGTAGAGGTTTGATTGCCATTCCATGCTTTGTTCGGTGATGAAGCGTAGAGTTGCAATTTGGTCAGAACATGATTTGCCTTTCCTGAATTCTTCAACCTAACTACCGACTAGTAAACTAGGCAAGGTTTAGGAGTGTATAAGCCGGGAACTGAGCCGAGACCTCCCACTTGGTAGACCTGCATTCTACGGTTGAACCATGGACGCACGTGGTTTGAGTTACCCATGTTTTTTGTTAGAAATTATTGATCTGTTCAGCTGAATATAGTAATTCGTAATAAAAACTCATTTACAGAAGTAAATGCCACTCCTTGAATGCATAAACATCACACACATAAGGGCTGAATACATTAGCTACAACTACTCGATGGCAAAATATAAACTCTGCTAAAAAATGAATCAAGATAAAGTTAATTAGCATTGGATATTGAGGTTGATGATGTTCATGGTGATGATATGCATATTTTGTTTACATGAAAAAAAATAATAAAAGATGCATTCTAATTCTCTACAATACATACACTTTAGTCAATTAGGTATGATGTCACATGAACTAAAAAAGGAAAGACCAACCTTTTCTCTGATCAAGTTAGTTAGTTAGTTAACTAACCAATGAAATGTTTAACATAGATTGATATTGACATTTGACTAGTATAGAGGGAAATACAGTCGTCAGCATGTGATAGATATGTTAGTGTAAGCGATAAGTTTTGGATAAATTAATAACGATATAACAAAAAAAATGGAGAAAATTACATAGGATTGATTTATTCTAGCTGTGTTCACATTTTGAGCGATTAACTATAACAAAGAAAAAAAGCAATGTGAAGCGTACTCACGAACTTGTTTAAGCATAATGAACTGTAGCCTTTTTATTGCAAAGTTTTCATGTTTTATTAAATCAAATGGAAAGATAACGATAAATTATAGCAGCCATGTTGTATGAAATCATCACAACTTAGCCAAAAAATGTGTGTAATAAGTAAAGTTAACTATGTCTACTGTGAGTTCATTGGTAGAATTCTCGCCAACTGTGCACACTGTCCGGGTTCGATTCTTGGTATTGGCACTCCTAAAACTCACATGACCGGTAGTAGCTGCGATAAAGAGAGAAGACTGGACATGGCGCTAGCAACCCTATTTCGTAAAATTCAGCAACGCCGCTACTAAAAATTCAAAGCTTTAGCTTGACGCAAAGAAATGAAAAAAAAACACTGATTAGATGAGATAGCTTTGAAGAAGACATCCACTATCATTTATATAATATGCTTAAAATATCTAACTCAATATGTGAAAACGTTCTTTTACTTCCCAGTTTCAAAAGTATTATTGGTTAGCAACATAGTTCACACTGTCTATCTTCTACACACACATAGTCATAAGTAAGGAAGCTGTACATCAAGTTCACAAGACAAGAAGAATTAGATAACAAAATCCCATTTTTAAATGTCTTAATCAGGAGAACCAACACAGGAGATTTAGAAACACAAGTATATAGAAAATCAACCCACACGGATCAACTGTACTCAACTATACTAGCAATAATCCAATTACTCACAAACGAAACTGTGTGCAGACATTGTGTAAAAGAGTTCAAACACATTGTAGCACTACAGAGTTGAAAAGAATGAAATAAAATATCTACAAACGGTTTTCAAAAAGAATGGTTATCCACAAAATTTCATCAAAAAGTGTTTAAAGTCGAATCAAAACACCAACAAGAAACCATCATCAAAGACCACAAGAAAATTCATCCTACCATACATGAGGAATATCTCTGAAATAACAGCTAGAATACTGAAACCGTTAGATATAGATATAGCACACAAACCAGTAAAATCGCTTAATTCCATATTATGCAAACCAAAACATCCAACAGAAAAAGAGGATAAAATTAATACTATTTACAAAATAAATTGTATGAACTGCAACAAGCATTACATCGACCAAAGTGGGCGTCCCCTTCGAATCAGAATCCAAGATCACAAATCAGCCGTGAAAAGACACGAAATGTATTCTTTCGTATCAATGCATATATACAATTATGGACTTCAATTTGATTGGGATAATGTCAAAATCTTAGACAGAGGAAACACCAAAAAAGCCAGGGAATTCCTAGAAGCCTGGTACTCAAACGAAAATGCAATCAATAAACACGTTAATATAGACGAAATATACCAACTAATAAAAAGTAAATCAGGTGACCAGAAAGTTTAAAATTCAAGTCAATAGAAAATGATCAATACATATGTGAAGATGGTTACCAGGAGACGCAATTATATCACTCATGAAGAAATTTAAATCATTTCACTTTATGCTAAATATTGCGCTGAAGATGTCCAGAAGGACGACGAAAGCTTCGCAACTAAACCAACCAGCTCAGAGAACACTATTAATTGCAAATTACTCGGTTGTGTTAACTTTAACAAATATTGGATAAGGTAACTATAGTGTCAGATTTGAATTATTTCAAATCTTTATTATAAGTCATTGAAATACAGTAATCGAAAGATATGGTTAAACTTCTCCGTTCACTTAGGAAAACTTAATTTTGAAATTCTATCAGCTGAATATGCGTTACTTGTATCCTGTTTATCAACTTATCCTATGAAAGATTAGAGGATATTCAAAACAGGAGTTTTCAATTCACTGCCCCATTCCCCCTCATCGAAATCATAGAGTTTGGCAATTTGAAATGCTGCATCTTTGTGCAAAGCTCTATGTTGAAATTCAGTCAGTCAGTCAGTCAATCACTTACCCGGAACTAAAATAACAAACTGCAGTTATCACGGTATATATTAAAATATGTAAAGTGAATCAAAAGTTAATGAAGTTTACTTATGGAAAGTCTATGTAAAACAACAAGATTACTAATTCATACTGATGAAGAAAAAGAAACTGTATGAACTTGTGATTCAAGCATATGTTGAAGATAAAATGACACACAAATCAGTAAAATGAATGAGAGAAAAAATCAACAACAACAACAACAAGCCAATTTAGCATAAAAATGCATGAATAATTTTACGGAAAACAAAATAACTAATTCGTATGGTTACTGTTAAAACAGTGACATCTTAGAATAAATCGAACATTATGCACAGAATGTGAGAATTTTTGACGACTATTGCCGCTTTAATGCAATACTAGTATTGATTTTAAAAAGTGTTGCATAACTAATAAAGTTCAGATATTTACTCTTAGTACAGTCAAAAAATTAATGGAAGTAAAATAAAAGAATAGAATCATTTAAACGTTTCGATAACCCAAGCAAAGACTATTGCCGTGAAAATCTTGGATAAAGACTACAATGACTAACAATGGAGAGTTCATTGGTAAATTTTCGA